AGATGATTTGACTCATGTGATGCGGACCCTCGATACATGACACCAGACAGTCAGATTCTCAATTTCGGAAATGGAATAAACTCATGAAGAAGCTGCCAAACATAGAAAAGTCTATCTGTCTCCGGTCTACGGGGTCAAGACCGGGTCCAAAAATGAATTCCAAAGACAACGTCACACAGGGCAGCAGCGGCCCGCCCATTTTCTGCTGAACGAGGGGTTCGTAATATCTAGTTCCGTTTGCGGTTCTATGACGCGGAAACGCCTACCAAATCAGAAGTTTTGTCAGGCCATGTGCAATCTCTCATACCGGATGCATTCAAGATCTGGTCCTTCAAACGGTTCTTCCAAGTTTCAACGGCCAAGCTCTGGAGATCTCCCAACAAATAACATAGACCAGCATGTACAGAGGAGGATTCAGTCAGGCTCATGGTGCTGACTGGGAGACGATGATTCAATCCCCATGTCTCAGAAGGCCAGCGGAAGATCTCCAAGATCGCCTTCGTCCCGGGAAAAGCGGCTCGTCACTATCGAAGCCCCACGGGGTTATCTTGGCAGACTCATCTTCACTTGGTTGCAAAGTTCGGCGAGGTCGGCGACGGAGGCCGAGACTCCACTATCCAAGCTGCCGATTGAGATCATCCAGCTCGAGCCGTCGTGTCGGGTCAGAGGTTTGAAGAAGGCCTGCGGGCGTAACTTGCCTCGCTACCAACGTCGTCAACGCACATTTGGAAACTCGATTCCACGGCACAATGCTATTATAGTTTTGGTGGCGAAGAAGATGAGAGCGTTCCGTGTTCTACTGCGATGTATGCCACTCACGGCCATGCGATTCACTTCCACTCCAGACAGGACGGCTTGCTGGTTTCTAATGTTGAGGCGCTCCCTCAGAGTAAAGGGTAGCGTGTTTGTCGCCCAGCACGCGGCGCAACAGTTTTCTTGGCTTCTTTGTCCATGTTCATGGCTCGCGGTTATTATGACTGAATGTCTTTCGACGGTTGATGAAGCTAGTACTACCCGACCCTTGGAATACCAGCCAAGCATCCATGGCGGGATCCTCCAATAACACACCAACCTTGGTCACCGAAGAACCCTTGTTCTGCGCCTGTCAAGGTCGATTAGACTCATGGTCCTACCGTCCCGCATCGACTAATATGGGGCAAGTGGTTCATCAGGTGGGAAGCCAGGGGTGGCACAGGGAACAGGATAACCACTGCGTCAGCCCTGTGATCCAACAACTGACAAGGACAAGACCGGGGGGAGTTCTTGATGAACATCGACATCCCTTACCATGGGGCCAAACGAACAAACAAGCAAACTGATTTTAGCAGGTAACGGGATGGGTGTGGCCACCAATTGAGTTCATTGGATGGCGTAAAGGTGGCTCAATATGGTTGGCAAACAACGTCCAGCATGGCAATATCTGATTTAGATGGCGGGCGCCTGAGGGCTTTGTCTGCTTCGAATATAGATACAGTGATCCCGGTCCTCGAAAACAAAATCCTTTGAAATTCTGGTTCCAGTGAAAGTAATCTTATGAGGAAGAGCACGTTTCTCAAGACTGCGGATTTTTGGACTGGAACCGAAGCGGCCTTACCTGACGGAGGCTGATAGATACCGCTTGGCCTGCACTTTGCATAGAAGTCTTCTTTGTCGACAGAGTCAATCCCTCGAAGCTAGCCATTCCCGATTCAGTCAACAAGTCCGACAAAGAACTTCGAGTTCACTTCTAGAAAATCGTCTCGCCGCATCCGATCAAAGTGTCTCGGTCATCAGCTTTGTCATTCGAACCGGTGGCTACCAGTGGCATGGGACATATTGCGCCAGAATCCCGGATTTCGTCCTAGGCGACACTTCTCTGCTTCGTTTTCCCTCTTACCGCATCACATCGACGAAACCCGCCGCTTTTCCGAGATGTCCACCATCATAGAGCCTCGAATCATTCCCAGCCAGCTCCCGCCTGGTTTAGAGATCGCCATACCGCCGGGAGGCGAGCTGCCTCCCCAGCAACCGAGAGGCACTTACGACAAGAAACCTCTCCCACCGCTGCCTCCTCTCCGCCCAGGGTTTTATCGCCAAGTTTCGGCCTTTTCTGTCATGTCGGCCATGTCAGTTACTTCAGCTATATCCATCGAAACAAAATCGACTACAAGAAATTCCTCGAGGTCGCGAAGTCGTGCCAGGACGACGCCATCACCGTCCCCTTCGAGATTGGAACCTACTGAGGGATCCGAGACAATCGAGAGACTGGAGAATGAGATCAGCACAATTTTGATTCAGCATAGCCCTACTCCCTTATCGCCTGTATCACCAAGGTCAGAACATAGGAGCTGCTCGCCTCAGAGTCGTCGAACCGAACCAGAAATTCGAAAACTGGCTGCTCGGCGTCTCTCTACACCAATGACAAGCCCTTGCACTCTTCACCGATCATCGGCCAAGATAAAACAAATAACTGGACTGGATGTTGACTTTAATGGCTTCACTCCAACGCCCACACGACCACCTCGTTCACCGTTGGTCTTGGAAACGCTGATGCCCGCTACACCCGACAAGTCTAGCAGTGTCCACAGCACAGAGAAGCCTCGTTCAGAAAAGCCGGCATCGACTTCGGAGCCAGCCCGGACCTTAAGCTTGATCGACGACTACGATGACGATTCGGAACCTGATAGCAGTGAATGGGACTTTAGTCCCAGTTCACGGAGGAACCATCCGTCATGGATACCTGCCTCTCCGGTACCGCCTCGGGTAGAGATATTGGACTTTGACGAAGCGAGCCCGCGCCGTCGGGACTCTGAGATTGGATGCTTAAGGTCGCCTGGTATGCACCACTTCGAGACGCTTCCCGCACGGCGAAATAACCATATGGAAGTCAGTTACGTGGGGGCCAAGGACCTTTACCACGCGACGGCGACATCGATTGCGAACTCGGCGAAGAAGGCTGCGGGATCTTCCCGAGATAGCATGGAGTCAGGGCGGAGCTCTATTCGTCCGCCGAAGAACAGGCTGAGTTTTGCGGCCAAGGTGCTTCAGTCTGGTAGGAAGCGGCCACCCACGGGCATCAACACGACCCCTCAGTCACCATCATCATTGGGCCCTGGGACAGGCTCTACCGTGGGTAAGCAGTCTTTGAGGTCGCTTCACCCGGATATGCACGCACATTCAATGGACGACGACCGTTTACGAGTCAAGTACTCGGACGCCCTTTCTCGCGTTTTTCGATGGAGCGGCGAGCACAGGAGGGTGGTTTCGGAGGGCACGACAGCGACGGACCTGCCGCCGACGTCAGAGCCTCGCAGCACCACAGCTACGCCGGTGCCCGATTCACCTACACACCCTGGACCCGGACTAAAGAGAATGAGTAGCCGGCGTTCAATGCAGGGCTTGGCGGCTCAGTTCAAGAGGACAGCAAACTCGATGGTCCTGACCAAGGATGAACGGCGGAGAGAGAATCTACGGCAGAGCATCCGGGTGATACCGGAGGGTAGCACACTCGAGTAGTGTAAGCCGGGCACTATGGGACGGCGCCGGCGTGGCGTTTCGGGGCGTGGACTGCCCGCGCTGCTTAGCACGCTGGGTTAGGTACCTTGGAATGCGAGCCATTTGGTCCGCATCAAGGAGGGAACAGCTGGCTTAGGCCAAAAGACTTGGGATGGTGTCATGTCTCGGCGTTTGTGTGTTTAGCGTTGTTTGTTCGTCATGGAAAGGGAGTGTCTAGACTGCTCGCTGGTCTGCCTGCCTAACCATTGTCCTTTCTGAAAAGCGAAGAAGCGTTTGTCGTTGTTTGGGCAGTGAACGTATTACGTCTCTACCAAACCATGAAACCTGGCAAAAGTCCAGATGACTACTTTACCTTAGATAGACATTCCTACCAAGAACAATCTATAGGGAATGAAAGAAGATAATCTCTACTTTCTACAATATGTAGACGAATCCGGTGGATGCAAAGCCAAAGTCTGAACGCGCCCGAAGCTGTGTGACGTGAACATCTGCCCCACCTCTAGTAAAGTAGGTAATCGATAAGTAGTAGCGGGAAAGGGTCCCGCATTCCCATGTAAGACGTCAACTCGGGCCAATGACAAGTTTGGTGGTTCATGGCAAGCTCCGTGGGACCTCCGTGTTCGCCGGGCCGCGGGCTGCCGAGCTTCAGGTGAGAGACCCGCCGAGACGTACCTGGGAGTCATAAAGTACCCGGTGACATTTGGTCGTAACTTGCGTCTGGTGCACCTCCTAGAATAGGTACCTGCCTTACCTTAGCTTGCCGACCCAATCAGAGTTGACCATATATAAGTCTCTAGGGCAGAAGTGATATCTCATAATGAGATCTCGAGGGCATGTTTAGTATGACTGCTGTTCCTACTTGCTGTTGACTCATTCCACACTTCCATACTGCCCCGGCTACTTGGGTCTTCGGGATATCTTAACTAACCCCACCCCCGCAATTCGGCTCGGCGCTTTTTCCAACAACTTCCCCCAAGACACACGTTCGCACAAGGTCGCTGTTCTGGGCCCTCGGATTCCTCGTCCTTTCTCCAACTCCGACCACAATACTCCATACACAGTCTGAAAGACCTTGCCTTAGGTTGCCTTGGATAAGCACACGGCAACTCCGTCATCCACCCTCCTCCAACCACGTCTCACGTCCGCGACCTTCTAGGCAAGAGCACGCGCGCCGCCCCCTCCTCTTCCTCCTCCACCCTGGACTTTCCGCGCACGACCGCTGAACGCTTGAACGCCGCAACTCTTCCTGGGCCTCGCTTCCTCGTGTCGGTCATCCTTCGTCCGGACCTCTAACCGGAGCTCCCGTCCACACTCACTCACACGCAACACGCTTACTTACTCCTCACAACATCTCCTTCTTTTTACCTTACCTCTTCCCCTTCCATCCTCATCCTATCCGATCTATAGGCGCGCAGATAGAGTTGCACACCTGCATCTCTTTCCCCCCTACCTCTCCTCTCCTCTTCCCTTCCCCCACCCCCCCATCGGATAGATAAGACCGAGAAATGAGCCAAGCGGCCGCGACGGACCCCTCGCCGGCCCCAACCTCTCCTCCGTCCTTCTCCGAAGACGCTGCAGCAACCACGGGAACCAACACCAGTAATACTGCTTCTACTACTACCACTACAACGACCACGACCACCACCGCGACGGCGTCGCCAGCCCTGCAGCATCAGCAGCAGCTAGACGAGGCCACGCCACCGACGGATCAGGAGGTCCACGAGATCACCACCACGCTCGCCGCAGCCGCTGCCGCCAAGGATCCGGCCGCCACCACTACTGCTGCTACTAACGAGACGAACGACAACAACGACACCAACGACAACGGTAACCCCAACCCAGAGGGTATCCTCATCCTCGACGACCACGAAGAGGTTACGAGCTACTGGGATGCTGGAGCCATGGCTCCCCTCAACTCAGTATCTGCGGTTAGTTGATTTCTCGATACTCTTCCCTCCGTCTGCCTCCCCCATGAACTCCCCCAAGATGTCCTTGTAGATTGTCGTTGGGGTAGATGCGACCTAGATGCAGCGTTGCAGTCATGCCCGATCTCGCTCTTTTTCATGTGTTTCTCAGCCTATCACCATTCATGTATTATGCTTCCCCAAAGTGAAGCTATATTCTCACGCCCTGTTACCCCCCTCCTGCTCTGTCTTGTTGCCCATCAACATGTCGCCGCATATCAAGCGCTGTATCACCCCATGAACTCATGACTTGATGCCCTCTCGGCCCTTCCTCTCCTTTCTCTCTCGCATCTTCACCCACCCGCTGCCGTCTCCTGCGCATTGTCCTTGTTCCGTCATTCCTTTCCTTTTATTGTATCTCGATCCTTACAGTACATAAAAACCTACCTGCTGTTCCCCGCCATGTATCTCTGCGCAAATAGGATGCTAATGCGCTCCAAGGCGGCCATCGGGCGCCTGAGACGATATGTACCGCCCGCATTCCCGCTCTGGGACAGACTCCCAGTGAGCCGCCGAGCGGCCGTTTTGATTCTACTCTACGCCGACCGCAGAGGCGACTTGCGCGTCGTCATCACGATGCGCGCGGCCAGCCTGCGGAGCTTCTCCGGGCACGCTGCCTTCCCGGGAGGCAAGGCGGATACGCTGCAAGAAACACCGTGTAAGTCAATGATCCCCAACGGAGCCGGCCCACCCCAAAATCAAGATGTTTGTGGACTGTACAGTTGACCACCGGAAACAGACGAAATCGCAAGAAGAGAAGCGTGGGAGGAAATCGGCCTGCCCATGGACGACGCCCGCATCCCGAAACCCTTCAAGATCGAACCCCTGTGCTATCTCCCCTACAACCTCGCCCGCACGGAACTCGTCGTCCGCCCCTGCGTCGCCTTCCTCCACGCCGACGAGGACCCGGACGAAGACGACCCAAGCCCCCTCGTCGAGGAGCGCATGATCCCGCGCCTGGACGCCAAAGAAGTCGCCGCCGTCTTCTCCGCGCCCTTTCAAAACTTTTTACGGTCCAAGGACGCCGACCTCCCATCCTCGTCATCAAAGGTACTCCCGCCTGGCCATTGGTACGACGGCAGCTGGATCCAATGGAAAGAGCACCCCTGGCGCGTACACAACTTTTATGTTCCGGTCGACGACCAGCGCGTCACGACGCCGGGGAACGCGATGGAGGTGGATCACCCGCAGAGCAACCTCGCCGAGAAGCTCGAGGAGGAAAAGGATAAAGAGGGCGGCGGGCGGTTTAAAGTGTGGGGGCTGACGGCGCATATGCTCGTCGACTGCGCGCGGATCGCGTACGGGAAAGATCCCGAGTTTGAGTGTAACGAGCACTTTGGCGACGAGGAGATTATTCTGCAGGCGGAGAGGGAGGGTAGCTTAGTGGAGAAGAGGAAGAGGGATGAGACGACGACGAGTACGAATACGGAGAACGGGAGGGGGGGAAAGGCTGAGCCTGCAAAGATGTGACCTACGTAGGTCATTGAGATTCAACGATCCGCGGCTGTTTTGTTGTCGGGGCGGGAAAGAGAGACAGGATCCGAGGGTGTCTATATGCATCGCCCACCCTCGATGCAGAAATCACACACATATAGAATCTGCCGCTGCAGCTAGAGCAGCCGTAGCCGCCATGATGAATGAATATTTGCTTTCGCATATTGTTTATTTCGAGTTACTTGCTCGGGAATCCTCTTCTCTTGCCAGACTCAACCGCCGCCGCCTGTCTTCGGCCTGTGGGGAGTCGGAAGCTAATGCTTTCAAAAACCAATTGAAATCGACCAACGCCCGTGTGGTAAGATACGCCCCTTCCACCATTCATGTCCAAGAAAATGAAGCTATTGCGCAAGGGAAAATGCAGAGCATGTCTATGGTTGTTGAGGCCACCTAGGACCTTGTGCGAATCAAGGGAGCCTATCAATGGCATGCGTTGTCCTTGGTCGAGGAGGTTGAGCTGCCGAATGCGGCGTATCCCACGAACGCACCGATGGCGACGGCGACCATGACCCAGCCGTTGTATGTCATGAAAACGAGCCTGTTTCTTGTCAGTCGCTTCACCCCTACGACATGCTAAGAGGAATGGATCTCCATCAACAACCGTCCCACCTGCGCTTTTTTCGAACTCGCTTCTTGTCTGCCACCGAGAGCAAAAGCCCAGCTAACTCCAAACTGGCACGGAAAACTGGGAAGGGCGGGGGAAAAATCAAAACTCACATGAGCATAAAGGCGTAAAAGTTCTGGGCGGCGTAGAGGGCGGCCTTGACGAGGTGTGCGCTCCTGCTGGCCTCTGCCTGTTCGCGTCCTGTCCATAGGAAGGGGGTTGTCTCAGTAACGGTTCCAGCGACGCCTCGAAAGACACAAGACTTCTTAGCTCATTTGTGTTCGGTATCACGTTTTGGTGCAAAGGGGAGTAGGGGGATGTATGCGCTCGCCCGAGATCCGCCTCTACGTCGTTCGGGAAGAGGGGCGCTTGGTTGGGGAGCGCAGCTTTCAAGGTAGTGTGTATGTGGAAGATGGGAAGCATGGGGGGTGTAGGGTCATGGGCGAAAGGTAGGTGGTTGGTATACGGGACATTGTGTGATATAGGTATATGTATGTGTGATGGCGACAGCCGGGAGGAGAGAGAGAGAGTGCTTACTCGGGAGGGAGTCGACGCGCTTGTTCACGGAGTTCTCGTAACGGCGGGATGCGGCGCGGAGGGCTTCGTAGCCAGCGGCGAGTGCGACGACGAGGAGGAGCGAGATGACGAGGCCGCTGGTGGAGCGAACGTGCCATTGGCGGAAGACGATGCAGAGGTTCTTGGTGTCCCAGGTGAAGAGCATCTGGTAGTGGGAAGCGCGGGTTAGCTTTGAGCTGTGCTTTTATCTTGACATTGAGCTCCGGGAGAAGCTCTACGGCCAGCTCGTGGACAACTGAGGGGACGCCGCGAGGGGATTTCGCGATAGTTCGAAGAGGAAGCGGTAGAGGGAGCACATGGTGCGTGGAGATATGGTAGGCTATGTGAGGAAACGTACGTTCATGCTGCACCGGTCGCCCATGCCGCCTCCCATTCCGTGGCCTCCCATGTCGCCGTGGTCCATGGCTGAGTGGTCCATCTTTGAGTGATCCATGTGCGCGTGGTCCATGTTTGATCGGTATTTGAGGTGGTTCTCGAGGGAAATTTTGGTTGTCGAAAGCTCGGTGTGGAACTTTCTAGCACGTAGAATGGGATATTGCGTGCTTCGTTCGGTACGGTTTCAAGATGGGTGATTTGTTGTTGAAAAGGAGAGGTTGCGTCTGCCCAGTGCGTGGTCGGTCAGTCGGTCAGTCACCTCAGTGAGATATGCGGGACCGGGGGTATGTCGGTTCCAGAATGGATAACGGTAAGGGTACGTACGGGTTTCGCGGGGGTGGTACCGTGGTGGTAGGGGTTCCAATGGTGTTCAGCGATCTTGATACGAAGCGGGAGCTAGCAACGATTCGGTTGACGACTGCCGAGAAAGGGAAAACGGTGGAAAATTGCTGAAGGATGGGAAAATATGTTGTCGTTTATTGCAAAGTAATGTTTTACCGGAGAATATGTACAAGCTATTCTGCAAGTTCACGACTAAGGCTGAAGAAGGGGTGGCGGCCCGTGGCTTTGGGGGATGAGATGGAAACTCGCTCAAATGTGCGCAGGTTCCCAGCCTCTGAGACGGGGTGTTCCCTTCTTGCGCTGCCCCTCTACCTACCAACCAGCTAATATTAACCTTCCAGAACCTTTGGCACGCTTGCCGCTGCTGTGTCGGTGTAGGGAAGAGGTCGGTAACCGGGTGTCCCTGTACGAATACAACAAAGAATACTTTAGTAAAAACTAAACCAAACGGCGGGGAGCTGACGTGCTGGGGCTAAGGTAAGATAGCTTGTCCTCGTGAGACTCGAGGAGGCTGTTAGGAGAGACTTGAGGCGGGATGCTGGCTGGGACAGGCCTGTAAGAGACCGTCGCGGCGGCTAAGGCGTTGACTCGTCTGAAATGTCTCTTGTATTCTTCTTGCCACATCCTGCACACGCCCGGACCTCTAATGCGTAGAATGCTGCTTAGGCAGGCAGAGCATGCAGCTTTGCAAGATGGTGATGCCCTGCGTGCCTGCCTGCACTGGTACTGTGAGACTCAGACGCCGTCTTCCTGGAGACAGATTGTAAGATCGACAACCCGTGAGGCGGGTAAGTGGGCGCTGGACGAGACGGGTAGGGCGGGGCGGGTGGTCCCCTCCTTTTCCGATTACACTCTCAGACGTGCCAGGCCAGGCGTCGCATGGGACTGGCCAGGTGGCTTACCAGTGACATTCTGGTGTTCTTCATTGAGACCGCGTCTTCCAGAGCTAGGCAGGCAAGCTGGGTTACACACTGCCCGTGGAGTCCAAGGAGTCTGGGACGTGTTGGTATGGCGGGGTTGTTTCTAGTGAGAGGGGTCGTAGGCCATATTCGCCGCTCGCTCTCGGTTGCTCGGAGTCTTCAGTCTATGACATACTATTACCAGCTGCCTATCGACGGCTACCATAACTGTGCTGGCGAATCACTTCTTCAAAGCTCGTAAAGGACGAACCATATGAAGTGATTCCGAACTTCAACGTTATGTTTGTCAGCGATGAGAATGTGTTGATACCGATCTCACATCTCTCTGTAACTATATGGAGGATTATTTTAATACCTTCATAGATTGTCGGTCTTTACCTTACCCGCCACTGTGAGCGGCCCGCAACTCTCTCCAGTGGCTCCGCCGATGCGCCGACGGGCCCGTCCGGAATGAGAGCTCTGGCGGCTGATAAATGCAGCCTCATCAATGAGTTGTAGTAGTCATCCAAAGCCTAAATATCTCATTCGCCACGGAAGAGAACGAGGGGAGGAGGAAATCAACTTATCTACACCATCTCATAGCCTCACCACCCGATTTCATATTCAACTTCAACTTCAGCAACCCACAATTGTTGGATTATCGACGCCGGAGTTTTACAAAGAAGAGTTTTCGTTAAAACACGAAACAAGCTCAAGTGACTCACGACACGACAAACAACCATCATGCTTGGACCCCCTGTCAATCTGCCCAAGTGGTGAGTTCCCGACTCAACCCACCCACCTAGCCTTATTTAGGATGCGATTATGAGGTTATTCGCAATGGGGCTCAATTAATGTTAACGTCTCTCACGCAACCAGGCTAGAAGAGAACTCTCACCTCCTCAAGCCCCCAATCAACAACTACTGCGTCTACAATGAGGACTTCACCGTCATGGTATGCACCCCCACAAACTCAGCTCATCCCCCATTCTGACGCCGGCCTTAGATCGTCGGCGGCCCCAACGCCCGAACAGACTACCACATCAACCAGACCCCCGAATGGTTCTACCAGTACAAGGGCGCCATGATGCTCAAGGTCGTCGACGAGGGCGTCTTCAAGGACGTCATCATCCGCGAGGGCGACATGTTCCTGCTCCCCGGCAACACCCCGCACAACCCCGTCCGCTTCGCCAACACGGTCGGCGTCGTGCTCGAGCAGCGACGGCCCGAAGGGTCGCTCGATCGCATGCGCTGGTACTGCGAGACCGAGTCCTGCCGCGAGGTCGTCCACGAGGCGGCTTTTCACTGCACCGATCTCGGCACGCAGATCAAGGCTGCTGTTGAGGCGTTCAAGGCTGACGAAGGGGCGAGGACGTGCAAGAAGTGTGGTGTTGTTGCTGAGGCGGCGCCGAAGCCTGGGTCGATTAAGGATCCTAACTTGGAGTGATGTGGCCTGCGCTACCTTTCGATGAGTGAAAGAGTGCGTATTAGAGGGAGAGGTGTTTTGCTTGAGGCACGGTGTGTGATCTTTCAGGTTTGGGTATTGATTGCAGGCGAAGGCGAGCAGACGGTCTATATGATTGAAAAGTACATGTGATCATGATGATCCAGACTGAGATTTTCACACCTCGGCCCCTTTCTTTATATGAGACCCAACATGACTTTTCCGTAAAAATTGCAGATAAATCGCTCAAACCCTCCCCCTTCTCTAGATAGGTCACCTCCCAAAGTTTATCATCAAACCAACACTTACGTCTCAGCAAACTCGTACGAGCTAGGAGACTCCTCAACGGCAACCTCAATTTTGGCCTCGGTCAGCTCCTTGCCGCCAACACGGAGACCGGCGCGGATCACGTCACCGGGCACGGCCGGGCCGACACCGGCAGGGGTTCCGGTCAGGACGATGTCGCCGGCCTCGAGGGTCATGACCTTGGAGATGTCGCTCAGGATGCGGGGGATCTGGAAGAGCATGAGGTTGGTGGAGCCTTCCTGCTTGACGACGTCGTTGACCTTGAGGAAGAGCTCAATGTCGTGGGGATCGGGGATGGCGGATTTCTTGATGATGTCGCTCATGGGCAGGAAGGTGTCGAAGCCCTTGGCGATGGACCAGGGGAGACCCTTCTTCTTGGCCTCGTTTTGGTTGTTGCGTGCCGTCATGTCGATGGCGAGAGCGTAGGCTGTCTTGGGTGTCAGTAGGTGTCAGGGTAGGAAGGGGGACGATGACCCCCGGGTGAGTGGGACCAACCCTCAATGGCGTCGATGGCGCCCTTGTGGTCATCGGCCTTGAGATCCTTGACCTGCTTGCCGAGGATGAGAGCGAGCTCGACCTCATAGTGCATGTCGACGCCCTTGGGTCTCAGCACTGGGCCGGCTCCAGGGAGGAGGATAGAGGAGGTGGGCTTAAGGAAGAAGAAGGGCTGCTTGGGGCGGGTGTTGTTAAGCTCCTTGACGTGATCGCTATAGATTGGCCGTTAGTCCTCTCTCCTCTTCTCAGCGCCTGCACCTCATGTGTGTGAGACTCGAGGGGCAGTTGGCGAATCACTCACGCATAGTTGCGGCCAATGCACATGACCTTACCGGCCCTCTTCAGTGAGGCGGCGGTAGCCATTGACCGTCTGAAAACCATGGACATATTGGCGGGTGTATCTGGCGTCTCCTTGAGTTACGATTCTTGTAAGTGTCAAGGTCGGTTGATTTATGAGAGCGCGTGAGGTTGATAACGAGCTTCGGAAACGATGCCGAAGCGATGCCGGAGCCAGTGTCGGATTCTCCGAATAACCGGGGAACGCAGGCCTGGGAGACTCGAGTATGCTTAGTCAGATTCTACACACGTTAGAAAGTTGGGTGCGTCGGGAGACCTGCCGGCACTAGGCATGGAGGCTTGCCAATCTGGTCAAGGCGATTTGGAGGACGGATGCGTCAATCGGCGGCAGCCATTGAAGCTTGCATATAGGGCCGCATTGACCAGTGCAGAAAGCAGTCCAATGCAGGCGAGATCTGGCACTCTAGGAGCTGACTGGACTGTATTGAAGCTGGCCTCGATTGGACGGGAACAATTTGAAGCTTCGGGGGAGACAATTCCCGCCCAACCGGTCGGGGAGAGTAGGCGACAGATGTTCCAGCAGTTGCATGAGTGGCCAGAAGACCGCGGGGACAAGGAAGGGCCTGGGGTTGCTCAATGTGGCTGAAATGGCCCAGTGTGGGGGAAGGTGCCCTGTGTCTCTCACCCCGCTTCCTTCCTTCCCTCCAGCTCGGTTTCGTGGATTTGATCATCGACTTGGGCCCAAGATGTAAGTAAGTATCTGTACCTAACCTGGGGAGACAGAGTTGAAAGTGACGGCAGACCACTACACTGGATCTGATGGAAGGCCAAGGAAAAGACCAATCAGAACACTTTCTGCTACCATCTGCTACTTAGAACTGTTCCTTTACCGTGTCTCCGGCGGGGTAGACGTTGATGTCTTTGATCTTTCCCCATATCCCCGTACTCTACCTAGGTACTGTGATATACGTATCGTCACTACGTACCCTATGGCATAAGGCACACCTCACACCTCACATTTCAAGGTGGCATTCGTCCTACATCAAGTCACCTTCCACACACAGCCTGATCACAGCTAAATTTGTTTATCAACATCACTGCACGGTGAATACCCTTTTCCTATTCATCATCACACCTTAGCAAAAACAATATACACACAACCGCGCAGCCCTTAACACTAGCTCACGCACCCTCCGCTCTGTCCCTTCTACCCCACCTCTGACATCTCTCACAGACCCAACACAAAGAGCCTTACTGTTAGGCACTTGTAGCCAGCGGTACCTGGCCTTAAAAGTCAAAAAGTCTCCTTACCTAGCCTTGGCCTGGAATGACGGCGTCGGTGGGTTCTTGCCTATGCCCCATGCTATGATGCTCCACGTCCATTCCCTGCCCAGATCCACCCACTTTCACTCTTCTCTCGGCCAAATTCACTGCTAACTGCCTGCATCCACTTCTAGCCCGTTAATCAACACTGCATTGCTAATTGACAGCATTCTCCATTCTACGCACTACACGACACGAGACCACCAACAACGAGAATCCGCACACCCAACACCAAAGGTCGCCATGGAGAGCCTCCAGCTGGCGCAGATGCTTGCCGACCTAAGCAGCCTCAACGCAGCCGTTTGTTTCCCTCATTCCGTAGCCTCTACTATCGTCGACTCTACTTCTGGTCGCATTCTCTGACTCGCCCATGTAACTCCCCCTGCAATACGATGCGCTGTGCGCTTCGGCGGCTGCAGGGGCTCATGGGAAGGAAGGAGATCCGCAATAAACTTTTACTCAACTCGCCCATTTGCCCTATCTACAGAAGTGCTGATGACCTCATTCCAACACAGGAACCCAACGCGGCAGCCGCTCTCGTCACCGCAAACAAGGCCATCCAGACGGTCGAGAAGACCAGCGCCAACCCCGCCGCCCCCGGACTGCCCAGGCGGCCCACCGATGAACTCCGCCGCGTTCACACGCACAGTTCCCAGACCTCACGGACAGGTACAGGCACCGCTTCGCCTGCCCGCGTCGACAAGTTTGGCCGTCGCATCATGATGAGCCCGCCCGCCTTGTCGCGCTCCAACTCAGCGCAGGGCTCCATCCCAGGCACGCCCAAGAGGGACTCTGATGTAGGAAGCACTACCACCACTACCTTACAGCACCAACCACAACCACTTGGAACGGGACAGAGAGCTTACGTGATGGGTGCTGAACAGGCCGAAGACGATATGGACCGCGCATCGACCCTGATGGCGCTGTACGAGATCCGCGCGAAGCTCAAGCAGCAGGATAACAGCAGCCTCATGAAGGCCCGGGAGAAGATCGCCGACCTTGCGGCGCGGCAGCAGCAGCAGACAACGGCGACGCCTGGCAAGAAGGAGCCCGAGAAGATTACGTCCCGGTTCACGTTTCCGAAATAAGCGAGGGTTTTCTTTTCAGGTACACGCATACCTTTTTCAACATAAGCGGCGGTACGGCGTTTGGGGAGTGTGGACTCGATCTGGTTTCATTTTCGACAAAGTCCGGCATGGTGGGATACTAAAAGTCACGACGAATCGATGTTTACGGGTCACGAGAGGTTCTCAGTTGGACGCTGGGCATGTCCATTTTTGCGATTTTTGATTGAGGCCGGCAGCGGTCACTTGGGAGTTTGCCATCAGGCCACGACGCATGTTTGTTTCTCATCCTTCATCTGGCTATTGAAGGACTGGGGAAAAGGTCGGGGATCACATGGGGAAAACGTGAGGGCAAGGGCCGAGTCCGGAGGCAAACCCGGGGTTTCGTTTATTCGTCGACCGGTTGTGTTTCACAGCGTTTGCTGGAATCATGCCCTCACTTGGTGAATAGCGCTGGGGGGTCCGGTATGTCTGTAGAGAGACTACAATTTTTTGATGCCAAGAGCGTACCTTGAACCCCAACAAACCTTCACTGAAGTTTTCAGAGTGAAAAGTGTCAAAAGCCACTGATGTATCGAATAATTCACTGATCAAGTAAAAAACGGGCAGTTGATCGCCAAGGCCGTGGGCGTGTTGCCCGACTGTAGCGGAGACCTTCAGGTGACGGAGCGGAGGAAATGGGGTTTTGAGACCGTCCCAAGTGCACGGCAACATGCCCGACATACCGAGAAAGAGTTGCGCCCAGGTGTTTTGGAAACAGTCTTGGCGATGAGCAGCGTAGTGCAGTCAGTTGATCGAGCCTCGGGTCGAGTTGCTGTGCTGATTATTGGGACCAAGGGCAATCTGCACCAAGCTGGTGGTCCGCGGGATAGGCCGTTGGTTCTTTGCCGGCTGTGTCTGTCGTGTGTAGAGAGACTACAGTGCATTCATTGCCCTATTCAAGGAAAAGTCTCAAGAGAGTTATCTCGGACAAGTTTACGAGGATTTGTCGAAAAGGCTCGAGAGAAGCTGGCTGCTGTTTGCGGCGAGGTGGATCTCAGCATTAGGGTAATCCGGATGGTAAGTATCCCTTAAGGTAGTGGGGTCACCGGCGTTGGGCGGAGCGAGGTGGGGAGGGGAGAGTGGCCGCACCACCTCAGCGTCGTCAGTAGCCAGCAGTGCGGCAGTGCCTTCAAGTCTGCTGTCTGAGTGTCCAGCTCCCGTCTTTTCCAGAACATCCGGGATTCACGGGTCGCGGGTGACCGGGTTCTTGAAAGTTGTGTCTAGCAGTGGTGCGCGTGGCGGTGAGCGAGGGAAGGGGGACACGCCAGCTGGAAAGCAGAGGAACTGGACGCAGAGGATTGTTCTAACTTCTCCCTGTGGTTCACGATGTACCGCAAGCTCAGGTAAGGTAGATCACGGCCGGAAGATATCGGTCTGCTGCGGCGTGAGTTCAGCTTCCCTTTCCCGGATCCACCCCCGGTATGTCGCTGCCGGTGAGGCCGGCTTTGGAAATTCTAGAGAGGAAACCGCAAACGAATGTTGAAGAACCTGCAGTGCCACGATACTGAGGTAAGCCAGGGGCGGCGACTGCGAAATGGATGACAGGATGACTATCCATGGCAGTTAAGAATGAGTAAACAAGATAAACACAAAACGAGTAAATGACAAATAAGAGCATGTTTTTGTGGAAACTTGTTGGAATAAGCTCGCGAAGCGTGCACCGCCCAGCTTGCTCGGTTGGGATGGTGTTGGTCGCGGTGAAGTGAACGACAACTCTCAGAGGGCCGCCGTGAAGGCCGCATGTTATTGAGGCACGTTTAGGCTTTTTGGTGAACAATGATTCCAATTCCCAGCGGCGGTTCGCAGGGGAAAAGGCTATTTCCTGTATCTCACCACAGGTGTATCGGTTGGGGAGGTCACGCTACCGCGGCATCGCCACAGGTGGGCGAGGAACCCTTGGTAGGAGGATGCGGTTGATGGGCCCGCGGCCAAATGTACCACTGTTGGCTGAGGGAGGAGGCGCGCAATAATCGAATGGAGACGGCCAAGCCTCGCTCGTGCCGGTGATGTCAGGCGCCGTCTGGAAGCCCCATTCTTTCTTTTTGCTCAGGTTCTTCTGCTTCTTCCTTCCTCGTTTACCGAAACGGTGTGAGGCTCTTTCGTGATTCGTTCACGAGGGCAAATGGTACCACGGTTATTCACCTTGTAGGCTACTGGGCGTTGGCCGGGCCTCTGGCTCATGAGAGTGCGAAAGGGCGAAAAAGGGCGAACACAGCCACATTCGATGCCGGAGCCCCGATGACTCGATGAGAACTATTGCCGGGCGGCATGATGGGTTGTTGATAGTCTGGGACTGGGTGAACTATACCTAGTGTATTGGGTCCTTGATGGCCTGAGGAAGAGGGTGAGGATCCGCGGTTGCCAGTTGGTACCTTGCATGGGGCTTTGATGGGTTCGTGTCTTGGAGGAGGACCGTTGGCTTCTTGGTGAAGTTGGCGAGCGTCCGCGCGAGAGGGAAACCCAGATTCAGATGAAAAAGCACCTATCCCGTCCAAACAAAACATCGGAGGGAACAAATGGGAAACTAACCGGACCGGGGCTCCATTCATTCGATTCACTGGAGATGCTTGGTGGTGACTCTGTGGTAAAGTGTGGTTGGAGGGGACTTTGGCTGCTGAGGGCTGACAATGGAAGTACAATGAATGTATTCCACACCCACCGCGATGACCTGAGTCCATCCATAAGGCAAGCACGGCAAGGTCAGTAAGGTAGGCCTGGTAGCCTGTAGGTACCTCATGACTGGTGACGATGGTGAATCGTGAGTGGCCACGCTCTGAGGAAGGTGTGGGCATCACTGGAAGCTTCGCCGGGGGACCAAGTGTGCGAAGTCTGGGCAGAGGAGGGAGGCCACGCAATGGCTTTGGGGCCAAGTGACTGCCCAGCCTCCAAGACGTCGCTTTTGTCTGGCGACGGTTTGCTTGGCTTTCTTCATCACGCCGTCGGGCGAAATATAACTTGGATCCCTCTTTTCCCCCTCCCTCTTCTTACCCCCGTCCGATTTTTTTCTCAAGAGTCTTTTCCATCAATCAACCTTGTACCTAATCAAAAACCTAAACGTCTTGACTCTCTCCTCTGGCGCTTCACTGCTGCCTTCCTACATTGCGGATACGGATACATAACAGAAACCATCCAAATTCTTATTTGATTAATTCAACCTTGGATTGTCTCGCATTGCACTCTAAATAGCGCGCAATTCTCCCACCCAAACGTATTCACGTTACTTATTCTCCACGGGTAACAACTCGCCTTTATTTTTGTGCACCGTACCTGCACCATCGAGAGCTTTAGACTGGATCTCGCCCGTATACGGATAGGACGTCGAAAAAAGCCATCACGTCATTGAACATCACTCACCATCTTCCCTCCCCGCCAACGAAAAGCATAGCAAACGCCACGCAAAAGTGAGCTGTTGGGTTCTTCTAAAGCACGGACAAGAAATACAATAGTCGGACGAAGCTTCTCCCCGGACAGCTCACTCCTGCCGTTTACATCTCGTCCTTTTTTTTTCTATTCGCCACACCAGAACCCTGTCCACCAACGATACCACAGGAAGTTTGGCCTACCTACTGAGATCAACCTTGTGCCTCATCTTCTACATCGAGGGCTGCGAACAATAAACTTCCCATCCAGCGACAACATCACAGTCATCAAGATGGCGGACGCTGTAGGCAATGTTCACATCCTACCCTTTCCCATCGACTCACTCGACAAGAGGTAAGCCTTCTCCTTCCTTCCCACATTGCATGCCATCCGAAATGGGTCTGCAAGACCCTGCATACATCAACACCCCCGGCGATGCCCTCCGGACGCTAACGTCAATCCTGCAGACAATTCTACTGCAGCTCCGGTCAAGTCTACAGAAACGGAGCATGCTATGAACGCGGCGCATGGTACTGGTGGGGACGCTGGGTCCTCGCCGCCGTCGTCGTCGGCATCGCACTTCTGATCCTCATCTTGTTAGGGTACTCCCCCAGTGCTATTTCCCGTCTTCTAGCACGACCCCCCATTGCACTCATTCATCATGGCTAACCAACGTTTCTGTGCTATAGCTGCATGAATTCTCGCCGTCGCAGAAAGCGCGGTGTCCAGCCCTTCTACGGCACCGGATGGATGAGCAACAACAATAAGCACAACCAGCAGGGCACTTACGCCTACAACCAGCCGTACAACGGCCAGCAGCAAGGATACGCGGGCTACCCCCAGCAGGGCGGCGCTTACCAGAACCCGCCGCCGGCTTACGGACCCGCGCAGCAGCAACCTCAGTACACGGGCACCACGTTCAACCCCAACGATGGATACTACGGCGGTCACAACGAGGGTATTCACCTGCAGCAGCCGCAAAACGCCTACCAGCGGGATTCGTACGCTCCGCCTGCTGGCCCGCCGCCCGGAAAGTAGATGGAAGATGGCGATGAACGATGATGGGGTTTGAATTCCGAAAGCGTGAAAGGGTTCCAGGCTCAGAGGCGAGAAACTTCTTTGACTGGCATGAGTACGACGACTTGCGAACACACAGATGATACCTTGATTGCGAAACACCCCGGTTAGGCGTTGGGCTTTCTTTGGATGGACTTTAACGACGATGGGGGCTACGAGGGAAGGAACGATGGGGGGCCAGCCAATATGTATGATGAAGTTGAGATTGGGGTTGAGCCTGGTATGGACAAAGAATCGAGAAAACTGTGGACCTGATTCCATAGTAAATTTCTACATTAGCGATGCTGATATGCCAACACTTGGGCTGGTGAGAGTGATGATGATGTGCTAAAGACACATGAAGCTACGTGAACAGAAGGTACCTAACGCAACAAGGTGTTCCGGTGCTCTGATCCAACGCCACAATGCCTTGTTGTAAAGCTGAAAGTGCAACTCTGTTAAGGAGAGGAAGGCCTTTTAAACACTGCGCGATCAACGCAAGGTCGTTTGAGTCTCGAGTATCGCACAGGTCAGATTGCTAGCATAGCTCTTACATCAGACGAGCCCTGCGATGGACTGGGCTGCAGCTGTGAATTCAATTGCCCTTCTAGACGTCCAGACGGTTCCTTCTGGGACGTGCGGGTGTTGCGCCGGGCCCCGTGTCGGTGCTCGTTGCCCAGAGCTTTTTCTCTCGACGTACCAAGATGGAGCGCCCCCTCTAACGACGATAGGCTACTTGGAGCAGTGATAATGAGATTCTGGGCTATCGCGAGCGGTCTCTTGGACTATGGTGGCGTCCGTTCCTCATCCTGCCCACTGACCCATCGTCAATCTTCCACGCTTCTCGGCGTTTCGTGGGATTCTCTAGTCACTTAGCTCGACCCTGACGTTCATTTCAAAGTGGTGAGATTGGGGGCTCAGGATTGTTCTCGAAGCCAGAGACGATGAACTATCTGAGACAAGAAGGAGAACCGTCTCCGAGGTGCCCTGTCCACTTGTCGAATCTGCAGTGTCCGGCTCTGCTACCATCTCGGCCGAGTAGATATGGCGAGTGGTTGTGGCTGAGCGAAAAGATGGTGTGGCTGGAAATAACCATTGGCTTTTTACGTATTCCCGTCATAACCGAGCGCGAGGGAAGGCAGCAAGGGGTGCCCACTGTCACGAGGGTTGCGACCCAGACGCTTTGGCCAATGCCAAGTCGTAATGTGCTGTACGTATGCCTGAGGACGAAAAAGACACCATGTTTCATCATGTTGACTCTGCATGCTGCTAACTGGCGGTCCCTCGGTCCCAGCTTGTCTCGTTTTCAATACGGAAGGGCTCCGTACGGTTGGTGCAATTGGGTGGTGGGCACGCGCGGCGACAGACCAGACAAGCTGCAAGTCAATACTCGCTAACTACTACCTTATGTGCTTACCTTACTTTAGTTAGTACCTTCACTTATCGGCCGGGGGAGAAGGGACTCAAGGGACGGCTCATCGGCGCAATCAAGATTGTGGTCGACGAGTCCAAAATCATCTCCGAATCGACCCCCTGAACTTCATGAGGGAAAAAAAAAAGCGGCACTTGCGCGATTACAAGGGACTTGCCAGACAGCCGTTTTGGAGTTGAGGTGGAAGTGGACACGGGCGTTGGGTGTTGGCGTTGCAGACAAGCAGGCAGACAGAAAAGAGAATGCGAAGCCAAGCCGCAGCAGCGCAACATTGCAGTGATTTGACTGAACAAGCCGCAGCAAAAAGCAAAGCAGAAGGGGGGACGGGAAGTCAGGAACCGCTTCCCCCACTCAAGTTCGTCTGAGCAGGGATCTTCAGTCCGCTAGAGTGTGGCATGGCGCTCGATCGCAATTCAAATTTCCCTCTGGAAATCTCCCTGTGCTCGGGCAGGTCGCGGCGTCCCGTCGCGCTCGCTCTCTCTTAGGTACCTCAGCTCAGTCTGTCAGTCAGGGAGAATGGAAAGGTGCTGATGTTTCTACCGCTGCTCCTTGACCCTTCCCACCACTACCAGTGACCACCTGGACTGCCTGACTACCACTTTTGATCGTCCCCTCGTGGCTTTCCCGGCAAAGTAACTCTGTGTGCGTCACGCCAATCTTTTCCCGTTCCTCCTTCCTTTTCCCACACCTCGTTGTAAATCCTTCTCTCGTTTTGCTGCTCTTCTGACCATTTGGTCAAGGGAAACAAATCCTCAGATCTTCTTCATCTCATCTACGGCGGCCTCTTGTCACTCTTTTTCTTGACAACCTCCCGAGGTGCATATTCCTCCGACAACCCGGCAGACTGCGTCCTGTGCCGTTTCGCTCCTTTTTCGTTCCGTCTCATCTCCTTGGCCATTCCCGAGGCTGTTTGACGGTCCTCCTCGTGTCTCTCATTTCTACCTTTTTTTTCGTTCGTTCTCTTCGCGAAGCAGAAGAGCAGAATTCCAGCTCAAAAGTCATTCCTTAAGCAAGCCATACGAATACCGGTACTCCGCCTCTCTTGCCGCCACTCTGGGATTTATTTATCCTCAACACGTCGCACGAAAACGACCACCCCTCAGCTACAGCCTCCATTCTACCTGGGATAACCGTGTCTCTCGACAGCTTGGACACGAATTGCGACCCACCCCTTTTCTCAATACTCGCACCCAGCAGCGTCACCAAGCAATAAGACCAAGACACTCAATCTGTTGGCCACGGATCGCCTTATTTTCGGGGTCATCCTGTTGGACGTCGCCGTGCTTGCTGACTTGCACCGCCCAGTTTCAGTGCCATTTTGAGACGAAAGCCTCTGGGCTTTTTGCTCGTTTGCTGCTACCATTCGCTACACGTCCCCTACCACCCGTTCACCAGCCCACCCACGCAAGGGGGCGAACGCTTTGCCCTCCCAAAGGCAGTGACGACAGAAGAAGACTTGCGTCCATTTACCGGCAGTACAGCGGCACTACTCATTTCGGTTCTTACCCTCTGAGGCTCTCGAGGCTCGACTTTTTTTTTTTTTGTTCACGCCTACCACTTTCCTTTGCCATCTTGGCTTCAAGTGAGTTCGTTTTGCGCGAATCCGGCCGCCCGTTACACCTGCACTACGACGATCTCTCGTACCACGAAGCGGTTCACCTTACTCCCACAACGGCACGCCGATCACCGTTCAAGCCGATCAAACGACGAAACATCGAGCCCATGAGATGATGGAGCTATAGTACGCTTCTAATTCCGCAAATCAATCACCCTCGACCAACCAAGCTCGACGTGCCCAAATTTTGTGGGTAACCCGCCGAGAATTACGTTCTTTGTTGGAGGAAAAGCAAAACAAAATCATTCAAAATGCCTTCGATCGATGTCGCCATGGCGAGGAGTCTCCGGGGAGGAGTGTGGGGATCAGTGGTGTCGAGCATGGCCGCGGACATTCAGAGTCGCGGAATTACAGACACAGTACAGAGCGCCGGGAACTCGATCAACGACGTGAAGACGGCGCTGTCTAGTTGGGACAATTGCATGTCCGTTAATTTCTGCAAGTAGGTTACGGCCATGGCCTCACTTCAATTCCGACACACTAACTTGCGCAGGTGGCCCGTCATTGGAATCATGATCTTCGGCGGCCTGATCATTTTCTCTATCGTATGGTGCATCATCCGGTGCGCTTGCTGCGGTCTTTCGTGCTGCTGCCAGTGCTGCTACTGCTTGAAATGCTGTGGTAATTGCTGCGGCTGCTGCGATACTCCCAAGGGAACACCTCACAAGCACCTCGACGACAGTTCGTATGGACCGAACAATCAGGGATACAAATCCCAGGCGCCCATGGCTCCCTTTTACAACAATGCCAGCACCGCGCCTGCGCACCAGGCGAATTCAACAGCACCCGTGGCTTCCGGAGCCGCAGCACCGCCCCAGTATGCCGAATTCGAAGTGAGTAAGTCAGGTGCCAATCCCGCAGACGCCGACTCGCTTCCCGCGATGCCCAGCTGGGAGGGTGCAGGCTCGAAGAAGGTGGCACTTGAGGAGGAGGTGGAGCTCGAGCAGATGAACAAGCCGGCTGTATCACCGAACCCGAATGGACAGAACATGCCTCTTATGGCACCCAATGCCATGTCCCACCCGAACAGCCCCATGCCGGGTGACAGGAGTCCATACGGCCAAAATCCTCATGCTGGACCCAGTGGTTACTTCGTTAACGCCAATCAGCCTGCGGGTCCCTATGAAATGGCAGGTAACGGCTACAGTGACGGAGCGTACGGACAGTCAGCGTCTTCTTTCGGCGTAGACCAAGGATATGGAAATGGGGCCATGGTTGCCGGAGGAATGGCGACGCAGGGCAGAGGTACACCTCACCAAGAGTTCAATAACAATGGCTACGGGCCCCAGAGAGGTCAGACGCATCCACGTCCTCAGCAAGAATTCGATCAGGGCTTCGGCAACAGCTACGAGCAGGGAGGCTATGGCATGGGCCGTCCTCCCCGTAATGGCCCCAGCCCGGCACCGATACCCCGAAGCTTCACAGCACCACCTCGCGATGGACCTAGTCCCGCTCCGGCTGGATATCGTCGCTCTCCTGGTCCTCAAGCCGGCGGTTACCGCGGCCCTCCACCCCCTCCCAGCGACTACCGGCGATCTCCCGCGCCTCAAAACGACTATGGCTTTGACCAGAAAAATCAGCAGGGCCAGTTCCTCAATGAGAACTACGGTCGTCCCCAGTACGGGGCAAACTCACGTCAACCCTCTTCGGAGTCGACTCGCCCTCTTGCTCCCCAGCGCAGCTACACTGGCGACCAAAGCATGGCATCTCCGGACCTGCATGATTCTGGCGGGTTTGACTTCAGCTCTGGCTACAGTCGCCCGCAACAATATAACTACAACCGCGGCCCGAGCGGTGGCAACCAACATATCGAGGACGAAGACGAACAGCGACCCCCGCAAAGCAGCGGCGGCACCTACCCAGGATACAAGGCGTACCAGCCGACAAAGGACGGCTGGAGTGGCGTCTGAGCGAAATGACAACAATAACGACAGAAGGCAAAGAGCATATGCACACCTGCCCAAGAGCACCAACAGCTCCCTGCACTGGGGGCGACTTCTATTTAAAGACTAATGCAGTCAGAAGTTCATTCGAGGCGGCGTTACTTTGAGTTTCTGATAAAGATGTGTCTTGGATGGTTAATCCTTGCCTCTTACACGCAAAACTACTGGACGTTTGTTTGGAAACACCCAAAAAAGAGACGCGGGTTTTCGGGGGCCACTTGGAGTTTCGGGCATACAAAGAGCCACTGTTTTTTCAACTCATGACCGAGGAGCAAATCGGAGCTGTATAATGACCACGGTCAAAGATTCTGTTTGGACGAAGTTTCAATTGTCGGATTTTTCATTTTTCATGTTTACAAGGCGTCGCATTGTTGGCACGGTATTCTCAGATTCTGTTTGGCCCTTTCTTTTGCATCTTCTTCGAGTGGAAATGGCCAACCACATGGCAAGGTTCTTCTTACTTGGCGACGTACTTTGATGCCATGTCATCCAGTTTCGGATGATTTAGAGTTTTAGGGCTGTGTGTGTGGAGGAGATTACTCTGCGTGGAAGTCGCAGTGTTGAAGATGACAGGGGGTTGAGCGGCAGAGGGGACGAAGCTGAGTGTTGGGTGAATGGCACTGATCCAGCTGGTTTGAGGTAGTCGTGTTTGGCGGAAGCCTATCAATCGGGCTTCTAGCTGTTGGTACGGTGGATGAATACCAAAAACCTTCTGATACAACCATCGATGAAGTGCTAAGTGATGGTCATGGAAGTGACCTGCTTACCTCACTCTATGTATGTACGCTTCATCAATGACAGATAGCCATCAGTACTCGTGAGTCCGGTAGGCGACCGTGATCCAACATACTGGATCGATCAAGCAAGCTCGGTTCAAGTAGTCATTGAAGCGCTTATCCTTCACTCAAGCGCTTGTCCACCAACCTACTGCTAAGGGAGTCGACTTTCCTTCGCCCACTAACCCGGGGGCCGGCCCGGCCTGCATACAACCCCCCGGCTCGCTTCCCTCCCCGGTCGTGTCATTCCATAGCGCGGCCAGAGTGGAAAAAGATTAGCGGGCCCTCTGCAGAAAACGCCGCTTCACATTCCCAATTTGACAGCTGCAATTACAGACGTGCATATGCTGTTGGTTCCTTCTTGCTCCAACACCAACTCCAACTTGTTCCCCCCCTGCCTAGTTCGGTGTGCTCGTAAATGTTTGCCCTGGTATGATTGCCTTGGGGGGGGGGGGGGTTAAGATGCCTGGGCCCTGGGACGAGGAGGGGTTCGGTTCGGTTGGCCATTTTTCGGGGGCCAGACGGGCTTTTGAAGGATGCGGGTATGGGGGGAGGAGAGTGAGAGAGAGAGAGAGAGAGAGGAGTTGGTTGGAATTTGTGACACGATTCCTTTCGCTCTTTTTTCTTCTTTGGTGTATTGAGTCTGGGCGCTGTGCTTTTGTTTTGATCGAAACTGTTTTTGGTCCCTTACTATTTTTGAGAAAATAACGACAACTTGAGGCTGCCGACGTTGCTTCTGAAGTTCTGCTCTGCCAGCGTTCCTTACCCCTGCAGATGTCACACTTTCCAGAGCCTGGTGTAGGAGAGATCGATCAGACCAAGCATGATCAACTGTTTCTGAGCTTGAAAACGAAGTTGATGGCGGATTATGGGATTGATCCGGACCGTGATGTTGGTCAGCATTCGGGGGGGCGGCAGCAGCATTCTCACGATGACGAAGGTGATGGTGAGGACGAGGAAGAGGGATGTGGTCACGCCACTTGCGAACACGGGCATTCTGAGGACGTCCCTGTGAGTTTTCTGCCTTTCGTCTGTTGAGAATCTCACTCTCTTCAGCCTCCCCCCCACCTCTCACCCCGCCTACCCCTGCCTCTTGACTTCATTTTTTTGTCTTCTGTTTCTTTCTTTAAGAAATACTCAACTGACCGTGTCATTGCTTTTTTCTGGTGAAGGGCTTGTCTTCATCTGGGCTGAGTTTGAGTGAATCCATACTGGAGTACCGTATGGAGAACGGGAGGACATATCATCGGTACAAGGACGGCAGTAAGTGGGAGGCCGCAGTGGTCCGGGACGGGTTATGTATGGTGTTGGTGTTGTTTCTGACCGGCTTTTTTTTTTTTTTTTTTGCAGAATATACACTTCCAAACGACCAGGCTGAGCAGGAGAGGTTAGGTGAGTCTTGCCGTTCCCTTCTACCGCCGGCATTTGGTTGGTGCTGCTGCTGCTGCTGCTGCTGCTGCAAGATACAGTCACAGCACTTCCGCTCGGCAGTTTCTTCATCCGTTCGAAGCGGCATCCTCCGTATCTTCCCATGTATCCAGGTACTGACGGGAAGGCTCAATCTCCAGACCTCCAGCACAATGTCTTCCTCCTCACGTTTGGCAACAGACTCGGTCTCGCGCCGCCGTGCCAGAAGGGGGCCGAAGTCCCTGGCAGGGTCCTCGATGTTGGAACAGGGACAGGGATATGGGCTATCGACTTTGGTGATGAGCATCCCGAAGCTGAGGTTTGTCGAGTTCAAGAAAGTCTCAAAGGTTGTAGGGAAGTTTGTTTGCTAATGAAGTTGGCAAATACAAAAGGTTCTTGGGATTGATCTTTCGCCTAATCAACCTACGTTGTGAGTTTGGAACTAACGCCCTTCTTCATTTCGACATAGCGCCTTGCTGATACTTTTTCCATTATAGCCTTCCGCCAAACGTCGACTTTGAAGTAGACGATATTGAAGAGGAGTGGGTGTTTGACGAGCCGTTTGACTACATACACAGTCGCCTCATGACTTCCAGCATCGCAGACTGGAAGGAGTACCTGAAGAATTGTTTCGAGTTGAGTCCTGCCCTTGATCCCCCACCTTGGCTGTGTAAAACACACAGATTCTAGGCCACAAGTCCAGATCTTCTTACACTCTCGCAACAGCAACCTCACACCGGGAGGCTACCTAGAACTCCAAGAAGTCGACGTAGGCCCCTCATGCGACGACGGCACCCTCGATCCCACGACCTCGGCGCTGGCGCGGTACTGTGCCCTCCTACACGACGCCTCGGTGATGCTGGGCCGGCCCTACCAGGAGATCCCCAAGCTCGCCGACCTGATGCGCGATCCGGAGGTCGGGTTCGTGGACGTCGAGGTCCGCGTGTTCAAGTGGCCCACCAACGGGTGGCCTGCCGCGGACACGGAGGAAGGGAGGAGGTTGAAGGAGCTCGGGGTATGGAGCGGGGAGAATATCGTGGCTGGGCTCCAGGGATTTGCGATGGCGCCGTTTACGAGGGCGTTTGGGTGGTCTAAGGAGGATGTTGATACGTTTTTGGTGGGTGTCAGGAATGAGATGAGGGATGAGAGTATTCATGCTTACGGGCTTGTGTGAGTTCATTCCCCGGAGGGACGCTTGGTTTATAATATCTGCGTCTGAATAGGGGTGTGTGGGAGTTTGCTAACGATATTCGTAGGTATTCCATTGTTGGAAGGAAGCCGCTGCAGTAAAGGTACCCAGACTTCGATAATCTTCCGGATTACGTTAATACCAACGAGATACGAGGCACGTAATTACGTGGTACACGGCTTCACAGCTTTATCAAATGAACCCGACTGAAAGATAATGGCGGTAGAACCTAATTAGTCCTTATTGACGCTCTGAGTGGGATCATTGGACCAGAAGAAGTCGGTGTTGCTAATATTACTATCAACGAAGAACAGCTATCTGATGACCCTTTTGGCGAAGGCTGCTAGTCTCCTTGGGAAGGCATGTAAAGTCATACCGCGATTCATGGAGGACAAGGCTTTCTATGGAGAGCTCTGATAAACGCACTGACAGGGTGATGATATAGATGAGAAGGACGAAGTTTTGGGGGTGTTCCCGGATGGACTAATGAGTTTGGTCTCCTCTCTTGAGAATTTAGGCGAGAAAGTTATTACTACGAGGCCATATTGTACCGAACTACACGCATATCAAGCCAGAGGCGTCCAGTTACGTCGCCCACCTGCCAGTCAGTTGGTCCAATGCGTTCTCTGATGCCCCAATAAGGAATGGGTGGGTTCGTGACACAGAAGCAAATGTTCCACGAGACAATATATCACTTGGATCAAGTAAGCTTGATTACCCGGTCGTTATGTTTCCAGCTGACAATCTAGGATGTCGGTACGGCATGAGAAATGTAACTCAACCAATTGAATATTTGGCGAACTCAATTACCAAGTGCGCATATCACAATGCTGACGGGTGTCTTTTCCTCTGCTGTAACTATGTGATTTGAGAGGCAGAAAACTCTGCTCTGAAAGAAAGAAAGACTGATGCTTATGCTGCTAAGGTGCCTCCCTAGGTATTGACAAGTGCTACAAAATCATGCAAAGCGGTCCGGATTGACGTTCTCACTGTTCAGTGCTAATTCAAAATGCCATCAGCAAGATTTTGCCGTTGGTTGTCGTGCTGTGATCATCATATGATCCAGCAAGTTGAAGTCTCGAGTGACCAAACCCCCTTCAACGCATCTCAAGCAATACTCTCCTCTTTCTTCGCCTCAAGCTCACCCTTCTCCGGTTTGCGGCCAATGATGCAGTACCTGTCACACACGTTAGAATATCAATAAATCGACGCAGGGGAATTTGACAAACGTACGCCGGCATATAAGCATGAATAGCTTTATTCCTCAGATCATTCCGGACATCGACGAGGAAGACATTGACCTCCTCGGGCGACCACTCGTACGCGCGCGTAAACGCCGCCATCGTGAAGGCCTCCATGCCCGTCGTGCCGTTCTCGAGCTGGATCCGGCCGAGCTGCTTGTATTTGGGGTCCTTGGGCCACTCGTTGAGCGGCCACTTGAAGGTGGTGATGGACACGTCGACGAAGCCGGCGGCCTTGAGGTCCAGGGACTTGGGGTCAATGTAGGGGCGGCCGAGCTTCTCCGAGGCGCCGTGGAGGAGCTTGCTCCATTGCGAGAGCGCGTGCTTCTCCGTGAGGGTGCCGTCGTCTGAGGTGACGAAGATGTCGAGCTCTTGCAGCTCGACCCAGCCGCCTGGCTCGAGGTTCCTTTTTCACGAGTGTTAGCTGCGACTTTTTATTGATATGGTTTAGATTTCTTCGGTTGCTATGAGTAGCTTTTTTCCAACTCACTTGTAAATCTTGCGGAGATAAATGTCCCAGTCGTTGACGGCGCCTGTCATAACTCTGCTGTGGATATAGTTGAAAGGGCGGGACCACGTCCAGTCCTCCTCGAGGTCATCAATCTCGAATTTGAGGTTAGGAGGTACGCTGAGATAATCAGTAAACCGATGAATGACATGTTCGGGCTTGAAACAAGAGTAAAGCCTACGAACGGGAATCACCTAACGTACTATTCAGTCAGGGGTGGCGAGAGGTCGAAACCGATAACCTTGCAAGCAAAAACGTTAGATGGTCACAGTTCAGCCGCCTTTTCTTGCGGATTCGTCGAAATGCGAACCCTGATTCTTTCTCCTTACCTCTGACTCCGGATGATCATCTGCAAAGTCGATGGCCCAGCTGCCAGTACCGGTACCGACGTCCAGGGCACGAGAACACACGAACTTTGAGTCCTTCTGGGCGGGCGGGGCGACGCCGGAAGCGAAGTCGAGAGAAATCAGCCACAGCTCATTCTCCAGCTCTGAAATTCGTATCGTTAGCTGGGGACCAGCCAGTAAGAACAATAGCATCAGAAAGGGAGTTACCAAGTCTGTCCATCTCTCGCTCATCGTTGGGTTTCGTGTATTCTGTGTCATTGTCAGACCGTGTCTCGATGCCAAGCGGGATGGGTTTCATCAAGGTAATACAACAAGCAAAGGAGAACTCACTGCCGTCTTTGTAACGGTGATATGTCCTACCGTTCTCGAGGCGGTAGTCGAGAACGGATTCGCGCAGACTCGTGCTCGACGAGGCAATCTGTTTGCGATATTCAGCGATGCCAATCTTTCCCCGTACTTGTACGTACGTTGGCGGCGTGGATGCGCGATTGCTTACACTCCCAACCTCTGACCGGGTCTCATCTTCCGTATCGTCCCCCACAATCAACTCGTCAGGATACCTCTCAGTCGTCATCTTTGTTTGCTAAAGAATCCCGGGGCAGATCTCAAAAATGAAGTTGTTTGGTTGGTGTCAACCCTTGTATTTTGAGATTTGTTTGCTGGATCCCGCGAGAGAGCAGATATGCGATGAGCAAGAGACACACACTCTCTCTCTCCACGGAAAAGAGGGGTTGGGCTGGTATTCGGTGATTTTTTTTTGTTATGGGCACGCCGCCGGATCGGTCAAAGGGCGGAGAAAATTCCCAAGATTTCGAACATGCCACTCATGTTTCCGTACGGCGCAGCCGTTAACCGCCCAGTCAACTTGTGGGACCCCCATCGTTTGAAGAACGAACGAGCAGGGGGGGTAATGAGATCCATGGACGGGGAAGGCCTCGGGTGATGATTTCGATAAGGAGTCTAGTTCTCCCATCCTGCAGATTTTCCCACTTTCCGAATCTAGTTTTTATCTATTGGCATGCGATATGCCTGGGGGACGGTCACCCGTTGGAGCTTGGCCACGGGCCGTTTGTTCGCTCGCTTCTACAACGCGCAGAGACAGTTGGTCACTTGTCACTTTTACCCAACCTAAGAGAAGGCCCAGAGACAAGGACATTGGTTGATTGGTACCGGCTGATAGGCCTGTCGGAGCGAGCGATCGAACTCTGTAAGACATCTTGAAGATGTGTTTTCGTGATAACGCACGAATCAGTCAGTCGCAACAACAACGGTTTGGGCTAGTGGCCCTGAGCAGAGGCAATACGATTGTTTGTCTTGCGGCTTTTTTGAACGATAGGAACTATTCCGAGACACCATATATCCATGGAATTCATAGAGTGAAGAGGAAGAGCTGTTATCGTAAGGTGATATCTGTTTTTTTCTCTCCCAAATTTGCGACTGAAAGCAGTTGGTCCTTGTTGGGTTCGGTGTATCACTAAACCCCGATCACCCGATGATAAAATCGGGACCTTCGCGTATGCAGACAACAATACACGTCGTCTCAACAGATCGCTCATTCAGATCCGAGCGAAGATAGTCCTGGATTGAAGTGTGCAGGTCGCCTATGATAGGCGAAGTCGTGGTTCATAGTTCTAGCTGGGAACTCACGACCAGCTGGCGGCTCTGCAAGTGTCGTTCGTGGACTCGTGTAACGGAAGACACCATGTCCCTGCAAGGATGTACGCACCCGCGGCGGGACCATCCATCTCACTAAAGTACTTACAAAGTTACATATATTTTCGGAGCGAGAGCAACGTGTGTCGACTTTATATATACTGCCTGCCTATCTCATCCGCTTTCCTGCAATACTATCAATTCCCTTTGAGATTCCTCTCATTCGATACCATTCGGTTCGGGAATGGGTTCAGCAACCAAGACCGTGCTCTCCTCCGGCCTCTCTTGCTCCTCTTCGGCCTTCTTATCCCTCTTCTCGTAAAAGCCCTCAACGTCCTTGACCACCTGCCGGCCCGAAAAGTTCTTCATCAGCTTCTGCGACTCGCCCCGGATACGATGCTGGTACCAGTGCGGGAACGCCCGCAGCGCCGTCAGCACGTTGCCATACGCGGGCAAGACGACGTGGCCGCTCTCGCCCGTGAGCACCTGCTTGACCACGGCATCGGCGACGGTCTCGGGCTCCAGCGCCGGGAGGATAAACTCCACGCCCTGCTCGTAGCCGGTGAAGAGCGGAGTCTTTGTGAAGCCCTGGTTAACCAGTACCGTGCGCACTCGCGGGGCGTTGTACCGAGTGGTGAGCTCTGCCGTGATGCCCTCGTGGAAGGCCATGGCGGCGGCTTTGGACGCGCCGTAGTCGACCTGGAGAGATTGAGTCATTTTTGTCGGGTCAACAAGCCAGATCAGTCTGGAGGGTTAGTCCTACCATGTTGGGGACGCATAGGTAGCTTGCGTATGACGCAACCGTCACAATCATGCCGTGATTCGCCTTCGCCATGTGTGGGAGGAATTCCTTGGTTGTCCAGTAGTGCGCAAGTGTGTTGACGTCGAAGGTAAAGCGGATATCCCGTTCCGTAGAGTCGAGAACGGTCTTCCCACGCGCCACGCCGGCGTTGTTGATAAGCACCGTCGGGTGGCCGACCTTTGCACGGATATCGTTGGCTACGGCTGCGAGCTTCTCAGTCGACGTGATGTCGCACTTGAAATAGTGCACATTGGAAGCTGTTGGCGAGTGTTAGACAATGAACCGCGCCACGCGAAAACGGGCATCACCACCGATTTCTCTGAAGAGAGGAAGGGGCACTCACCAGCAGTGAAAGTCAAATCCTGGATATCCAAAACGACGACAGTAGCACCCTGCTCGGCCAACAGCCGCGCAACATGCCCGCCAATCCCACCAGCACCGCCCGTGACGAGAACAATTTCCCTGCGCCAGTCGTACCGGTCGTCGACCCAGTTGTTCAGGGCGCGCCGCGAGAGCCAGCTGCTCGCCCAGCGCGTGACGGCGCAGTACGCCAGAAACTTGATGCGCGAAAAGGCCGTGGGGTGGAGGATGGCGAGATCACCGCCCTTTTTGGTGTAGCGAGCGAGGAGCAGTAGCGGGAGGAGTACGGACGGGTTCAGGGCGGTCCTGGCGATGAGGCGGAAGATGGGGTCGGCTGTGAGGCCCTCGCGCGGGAGGAAGCCCTGGTGTAGAGGCATCGTCGAGGTTGTGTATCTGCTGCGTTCCGCGTTGGGGTTTGAGAGTATGCCTGAACAGGCTGGTGATGTGTCCCAAGGGATCAGGCTTTCGTTTCTCAAAGATGTTGATGAAATCAGACGACAGGCCAAGAGACGATTCTGAGATGGGCTTTTGCTAACGCCGGTGAGTTGAGTGAGTATTCGTCAACCAACAGCCTCGGGTTACGGTGCAATGAAGCTTGAATTAGAGCTTGGGTTGTACCAAGTTTCCAAGACAGGAGGGATTGTCAGAAGAAAGACAATCTCAACATGACACCACCTCACAATTGCCATGCGAACCCTCCATACTTAAAGGGTGTTTCAATGACGAGGGGGGTTTCAACAGTCATAAGTAAAGAAAAGGTGGCCCAGGGTCGTCCGTCGCACACCGGGTGACAGAGGCAGAATAGCTCCCAACCAGACTTGATGCTTGGCGGGAGAGAGGACGGAAGGAAGCTACGACCATCCAAGTCCCCGTCCCCCTTCCCCGTCCCATCATTGCTTGCCGCACATCAGTCGTACAACCACACCATGTGCAGGTGTCCTTTCCAGATTGGAGATGCAACGCGCAGCCGAGGTCTAGTGCGGCCAAAAAGTGCGGGGAATCCGGGGGGCCGTTGTGGAAACGGCGCGGAAGTCTTGGGGGATGGGGGCTTGCGATGCATAGCCCGTCTAGTGAGTATTGTGATAGGACAAGGTCCGGTGAGAAACGTGAGTTGCGAGCTTGCGATCGACATTTCCTCGTGCCATAGTTCCCAAGTGCCTACTAAGAAAAAGGCTGAGCCGAATGGTAAACCATAGGTGTGCACTACAAGCGCGGGGTGGTCGGCCACATGCAAGTTGTAAGTGTTGTAACGGCTCCTCGCCTGGCCTGACGTGCGTATTGCCTTTTCCAGAAAGCAGTTCGTCGCGCGTGCGGCATGGGGCCACCGGATGGCTAGGACGCTCAGCTCCGGGTACTCACCGACCCGGTGGGAGTGGGGAATCTTCAAGGTCCCGGGAATGAGTTTCCTACTGCGTAATAGACCCGTTCCTCGCGATCGGTTGGTGTTTGCTTAATTGTTTTTGAGTTCTGCGTTGAGTTCTACGAGACGAGAAGACTTTTGTGTACCCGTACTTTCGTTGGAGAGAATTAACCTTATCTTCAATTGGCTTCCCTCCATCATCGGTTTTCACCTCTGCCAACTTCTAGAAGACATCAAATGTTCGGCCGTTTGCAATATCTGTGCGCAGAGGCAAGGTACTAAGGTTATATACACCCATCGGTATCGGTTTCGGCACCGTCCGTCGGTCGACGGACTAAAACCATTGAGTCCCGTCGGGCGAGATTCGATTAAGAAATATGTACTAATACAGCTTCCGCGTCTGGGGTATCACGAATGGGCACAAGTGTAACCAGCCAGCTCGTCCACAACGAAACTGGCGAAAAGCCTCCCTCTCCCTCCGATCAGAGTATCAGCGCAGCGCCGATGCTCACCAAACACAGCCAATACGCCCCATCCCTCCACCTCAAGCTCGCACCCGCGCCGAGACCGTCGCCGGGCGTCGCCTCAGGCTTCGTCCCGCCGAGTCCGTCATCGCCGCTGCCGCTTCCCGATTTAACTTCAATGGTGGTGGAGTCGCCCGGCGCGAAGAGCACGCCGATCGAGTTGGCGGCCGTGGCGTTGAGCTGCTCGGCGGTGAGGAGCGGATTGTTGAGGGCGTCGCACGAGGGCCGGCCGTCCTTTTGCTCGATGCTGTTTGTGACGGAGATGGGCACGTCAAAGATTGTGTAGTGATCTTCGCCGTTGAGGCGGAAGTTTTGGCGGATGGAGATCTGGGAGAATTATTGTGTGAATCTTCGCCCTCCGGATCGGTTCGTAATTGGGGGTGAGTGTGTTAGTGCTAGACTTACATTGTACGCGCCGCGGTCGCTGTCGCTAGAGCTTGGCTGTCCGTTGCCGACGAGACAATCCGGCCATATCCAGTTTACGTGCTTCACAGTGCTGCCGGGCTCCTGGATCATAATTTCCCCCAAGCTGGCGTTATTGGCCGTCGCCGTGCCGTTGGAGATGGTGAAGTTGCGGCCGGTAGTGTAGCTTGACAAAAACATGGTCACATTGAAGATTTTGGTCGGACTATCCGCGGCATACGGCGGCAGCGGCATCTTGCCGTTCGTCGAGACGTCAATCGCAACATGGAGGTTATCTATAGTTGAACTACTGTTAACGATGTGTGGTCCGATGAAAGCCAAAACTCTCATGGTTGTTTGCGCGACTTCATCTGAAGTATTTGGGAAAAGGTGTCTGGCGGGTTACTAACCTCCGCCCAGCGGGGTCCCCGGCTGAGGCGCATCCAAGATAACCAACCCAGGCGTGAAAATCTGGCCGTTGGCAATGGTGAAGTTCTGGGCCGTCCCGGAGGCCGCGAATAGGGCCAGCACCGCGGCCGCGGCGTACGAAGTTGAGGAGACCATGACGATGGAACAGGACTGAATGTAACGCTGCGGAAAGGAAGGTCGCGAAAGATATGGAAAATAGAGCCGGGAACCGAGAAAGAAGAGGGACAGAAAAAGATTAGCAACGATCTTGCGCCTGCGCGGGGCAAGCAGTTTGTTTAATTATTTCAAAGTCCCACGCGCCTGAAGCATCCAAGAGAGCGGGAACAGGGTTTCCTGGATCTCTCTTACAAAAAGGTACGGGAAAAGTGGAAACGGGCGGCCCTTGAAAATTCGAGAAACAAAAAAGGATGATTTCGTTCGATGCGGGATGATGGATCGGGTGCTCGCGAGGGAAATGAGCATACGGGCCACACACACCTGGAGTAGATTGCCAGGGATGGGTGGGCGAACAGAGATGAGAAGACAGAACAAGGCAAACAGTCAAGATGCTAAGTGGATGGGACGTCAACCGTTCTTGAGGCAGAAGGGATGAGGGGGCGAAAAGTCTTGAAGGCTTCATACGACGGATACAAGCTACGTCGTTATGCAAGCTCGTCTCTAAACACCACCTCCTCTCGGTTCGATGACAGCGGCGATCCGACGCAAGAGACGGCAGAGAAACCTTGGCCCTTTATGAGCCTTGCAGGTTCTGGGCCACTGTCATTCATGCCGTGTTTGTATCCCTACACAGAAAAGTGTGTGTGTGCCTCTTCCCGGAAGTCGAGAACCGGGGCCAGGTGTTCCACCGCTTTACAATAACCTTACAACTCTACCAGTATTAAACCACCTGGCACCGTGGCACCATACGATACGCGATCTCCAGCCAACCCTTTGGTTATGGCGTCTGTGCATGACGTGGGTTCGGATTCGCCAGGGGACTGGAACAGAGACGAGCTAGACGTCGAGGACTGTACGGAGTAAGGATTCTGAGGAGTGAGGTGGTCAATAACGCCTGGGAATTAAGATGACTTGCCCCTCGCGGGTGTGACGCCCTCTTGATGCATGCCAGGTTTCAGATTGAAGGAAGCGGGAAGAATTAGCAGATAGCCTGCAAAGAGCACTAAGATGATATCAGTTAATTTACGAACAATCCGTTACCCATCGCATATTCCGCCAAGTGCCCTTCTCCATCAACAAGAGAGCGAGCGGCCCCAACGGCGAAGGAGAAAGGGCCCTGAACTTCCATCAATGAGAAATGAGACGGCGAGGACGCACGAGCCAACGCCTAATTAAACTTGCAGCCAAATACCCTGCGCTGGCGCCGTGGGGTTTCCGGCTCCTTCGGTCCCTTCGGCATCGTCTTCCGTCGCCAAGTGACTGAACTCCATCTTGCATTTTGTAAGGGTCTCTTCATGATACGGGTATGATAGGACTAGTCTCGTCTCTGCAAGTTCACAGCACGTGTTGAGAAGATCACGATATCGGAAAAAATGGTTTGTACAAATTCGACATCCATTAATGACACCATCCTGCGTTGTAGGTAAATCGGGGGCGAATTATCTAACATGAACAAATTTTTGAAAAAAAGCAAACTTGTCTAGTTTTGTTGAAGGATCCTTCTTTTGGTTCTTTTTGGTTCTTCCCAACGCCTCGCTGTCTTTTTTGTGAAAACTTACAAGTATCCTCCCCAACCGTGGATGGACTCACTCATCAGGTCCAGAGGATACAGGTGCCGTCAGCGCCGGCACTCACACACCAGAGCTCCGTAGGGTGCCAGTCAACGTCCAGGACACCGAGCTTATTGACAATCTTGTGGCCCTTGAGCATCTTCACCGGCACAATGGTCGGGTTTTCCATGAGATCGGTCACGACCTTGCCGTGGAAGATTTGCAGCGTGCCGTCGTCACTGGCGTCGGCGAACAGGGGGAAGCTGCGGTGGTACTTGACGGCGCGGATGGCCTCCGAGTGGAAGCGCATCGTCTTGTACGGGCGGTTGGAGAGGTCGAGATCGTGCCACAAGAGACGTCTGTCGTAAGATCCCACCACGATGTTGTCACCACCAGAGTGCACATCAAAGGACGAGATCCAGCGGGCGCCGGGCTGGATGACCTTGACGAGCTCCTGTCTTTGCAGGTCGTAGCAGCGGATCATGCGCTGGGTCGCGACGAAGAAGAGCGGCCGCGAGGGGTGGAACTGTGCCGTCTGGGCGAGACCGGGCAGCTTGCGGAAGGGAATCTGAGTCAGATGCTTCGAGAGGGTGTGAATAGCAACTGCGCTGCGCTGGCCGTTGGGGGAAACGGTGCTGAGGAAGTCTCCGCGTCTGTGCCAGTTGATCACCTTGATGACGGACCTGACGGTGGCCTTGAGCAGGACGCCGGCAGCCTCCAGCTTGGAGCCAGGTCTAGCCCACTTCCCCGGGTGCTCCTTGGTGACGGCAGCTGCGGGCTGAGGGTTCTGTGTGGCATAACCGAAACCAACGTCGATAATGTCACGGCTGGCCTTGTCGATGCCGTCCGCACCGCGGGGAGGGACCGCAAAGAAGAGATCTTCACCAGCAGCAGCGGCCAGGATGAAGGTCTCCTTGTTAGGACGCCAGCGAACAGCGTTCACAGCCTCATCGAGGCTGAGCTTGGCCATCCACTCCTGGCGACCGGTACGGAGATGCCACAAGCGCACAGTACCGTCGTCACCACCACTTGCAAGCCACTCGCCGTCAGGGCTGATGGCAGAAGACCGCACGCGACCCTCGTGGCCGCGGAAAACAGTCTGGCAGGATGTGGGGAAAGGCCTAAGCTCCTCGGGACGGGGCAGCTTGGGAAGAAGCGACGCGGGATCGATGTTGAGCCTGTTCTTGCGCACACGAGGAGCGAGGTAAAGGTCCAGACAGCGCTCAAAGCGCTCCTTGACGAATTCGCCATAGGCAGGGACTTTGCGCAATGAATCAAACTTGGCGGGCATGTACTCCTTCTCTCTGTCCTCGGGATCCGCCTTCTCCCACTCTTCCTTCTCGGCTTCTGTCGGGAGGTACTCGGGGGGAGGGTTGTAACTGAGGTCGTAACCCGGAGGCGGGAGCTTGGGTGCCGGGATGTCCATGACGTGCGGCGGGCGCTCCTCCTCGTTCGCCCAGACGTCGTAGTAGACTTCTTCCTTCTCGGCTTCCTCCTTCTCCTTCTCTTCCGCCGACTTGTACGGCAAGATGTGTCCGTCCTTGATGGCCTTGACGAGCTTGGCAATGCGCTTCGCCTCGTGCTTGGAGGGGACGAAACGGCGTTTCGGTTCGGGCGCTGCGCTAAGGGGCATCTTCTCCTCGTGTGCTGTGAACCAGTGGACCATTTCCTGGGTATCGTTAGTCTCGAAGGCATGTCACACATAGTATATGGATACTCACGGGGTAGGGATCGTAGCCTTCTTCGGGGACCTCGTTCATCTGGACGCGGCGCAAAAGCTCGAGCTCATCCTGGCTCAGGTTGAGAGGCTTGCCGGTCTGGGGGTCCGTCAAGCCAGTCCAGCCCTTGGGGAGCTCAATGGTCTCGAGCAGGGCATCCAATGCCTCGCCGGCGGCCGGACGCATAATCTTCTTGCCATTGATGTCATATCCGATGTGAGGGTAAGAGTCGTAGAAAGAAAGAGGAATGTTGCCGATTGTGTTGACGGGCTCCTGGGCGTCACTGTCGTCGGAGTCGTACTCGGCGTTAATTTCGTCGTACTCGTAGCGCTCTTCGCCGTTGGCGCCCGTTACGACGCGATAGTTGGGCTTGTCCTCCTCGTCATTGTCGACAGCGCCAGCATCCTTGCCCAGGTTTGTTGACTTGAGCTTCGAAGCAATATCTTCGTCGTCGGCATCGGAGGGAATTTCGTCGCTCAGAATATCCTCCTCATCCTCCTCGTCCTCTGACTCCTCGCCGTTCAGGCCATTGTCTTCGCCTTCAGACTCGGAAGTTTCTTCATAGTCGGAATCATCTTCGCTCCCGGACAAGACACCTTCCAAAGTTGCGCCAAACTCGTCGTCAACAGGGGCAGGTGCATCCGCCTGCGGCTCCTTCCGCTTGCCTAACGCTTGTCGTGCACCCATTGTGGTGGTGGAAAAATTGTCAGCCAAAAGAGATTGTCAAGGGCTATTTTTGGAGCTTTCGGTTCGCGATGCAAGCGCAGGCGGTTTGGGTGGACGCCTTCTGGGAATTTTTTTTTTCTGCCGTCGGTCGGTGCTAGTGTTTCCCTGACCGCCTAGCGGGGTCGACCGAGACGCGAGACGGAAGAGTGGAGGGATCGCTCCGGTTCGTCCCCAATTGCGACTCCAAAATCTGCCCCGAAATCTGCCCTACAACAACACCGCCAATTCCACCAACGTACATCCCGTTGGAACACAACGATGCAAGAAGACCGAGCCTAGTATCTCACTGGTTGTCTAAACGTTTCATTTCGAACGTCATAGGCCTTAGACTACAACACATGCAGAGAGTTTCGAGGATAATGCATAATTACCTACCCCGAGAATGGCCCATGCGCCACAATGGCTGTCAGCCCATACTGAAGTTCTGGACGCCTCTACCAAACTCAAATACCTAGCGCCATTCCGGCTATTAATGTACTTTAGGTTGGGTGGGCGGCCCCTATGCAGCGGTGCATGGGCTGCCCTACAGGGCGTCCTTCAGCCGTTGTCTTGCTAACCACACGCAACCTTCCAGCGCTCGAGACACTACAACGTAACATCGGACTCATTGGCAGCGGGTACGAGGTGGTTTCTTGGCACAATTGGACGCCTACTGCGCGCTGAAGCAGGCGCAGCGACGCCGAGTGTCTCCTTACACACGTTGATGAATCGTGGACGCAACGGAGGATACACGGAGAGAGCTCACCATGCCCAATAAAGGGCTTATGTGTGAGTATTCTCATGTTCCATCGTCAGCCCGCCCGACCATACCAGTGATGGGTAAGACGCTTCGGGCTGCTCCGAAACAGCTTCAAGGGAGAGGTTCCTCGTGATGCTGGTGCCCTGTCCGCATCCATGGTACTCACATGAAGGCACTTACGCCGATGACTCGAATCTTTACGAATTACGCACTCTTGACCAATGACAGCGCCGCCTAACAGCACCTCAGGGTAGTTCAAGCACCGGGGGATCTGATCCTGCACACACGAGAGAGGCGTTGAAGCCCAATTCTTTCGCATACCAATCTGAGGAGAGCATATCTCATGATGTCTTTCTGTCAAGTTGAGGAAGACTTTCATTCACTATAAGTGTCTTGGCATGAGCAGGATAGGGAACCTTGAGAGGTGGCTCAGCCTTGGTTTGCTCGAGAGATAGGTAGTCTCTGTTGTTGCTAGAGAAGTACTACCGATATGATCAAAGAGAAGTGAGGACAGCTTTAACGGTGAACCAAGCTATCTTTCTAGCAAAAGTACTTAGTGATGAACTTTACTTTCCGTCATATGCAAGGTTGGCATGGTGCTGACGCCGCCTCGAATCCTTCAAGAAAAGGGACTTTGGAGTGACTGATGGCGAGGCCGGCCAAGCAGCGTTTTGCAGTGTACTCTTACTGAGCGAATGTACCTTGCCCTACCAATGGATCCCGTACAGCAACCACCGACTGAGTTGGTCTTAGGGGGCGGGCTTGAGCTAGCGCGGGTAAGCTGTGCTGCGTGGCTTGCTCCTCACCTACGACAATTACGCCGTGGACCGGGAGAAGCTTTGCCCTCTGGCTTCTCAACCGCACCTCGTGTGTCTCACTCCGTCTTCCTCATCCCGATCTCTGGACCACAGTCACAAATACCTACGTCTGCATTTCCAACGTGGCCGTCGGTGTCACCATCTGCATGCTTCCATCTCGTGCATACCGCAGCCTCGAGCAAGAAAAAAAAAAAACTCCGGGATTCAGCTGGAGAGCAAGCCACGAGCTAAGGCAGCCAGGGCTTCATCGTCGTGCCTTTGGGCTTGTCACTACCTTGCCATTCAGAGTCATCGGCCCTATTAGCATATCGACTTTTACGATCTCTCCGTCACCTACATATAACCCCCCCGAAAGCCGCACTCCCAGCAGTCTGGAAAGTTCTGAGTAATCAGAATAGTTCAACCATCGAATATTGTCAGGCAATCACGACGACGCCTCTTCAGTCCCCTGTCACCTTTGTCATATCATATCATGCCCCAGAGTAGTAGCCCGTCCAAGTCGGCGGCCGGTGTCGTGAAGCATCGCGCGTGTGATGAGTGTCGTAAGTGGGACTCTCAAGCCCATCTGGAATAGATGCTAATAACCCAGACAAGGTTCACGAAAGCTGGCTTGCACCAAGGAACCTGACGGGTGCTCGAGATGTCGGCGGGAGGGGCTCAGATGTGTCTACTCGGCCCAGAAGCAGATGGGCCGGCCAAGAAAACGTAGACACGTCGAGGAGGCCGAAGGACAATCTTCCCCCGACAAGCCCGAGAATCAAGACCAGCAGGCGCAGATGCCACTCATGACGCAACCGACATTAGACACCGACTTGTCGGCCTTCTTCACCCAAGACTACTCTAGCATGAACTACCTTGACCTCCTCTCCCCCTTGGAAGGCCTGCCGCCTTCGACGCTGCCGCCTGAGCTGTCGAGCTTGGCCATGGCATACACCGAGCCGCGGTTCCCCAATGGAGACTTCCAGTTTGGGGTTGCGGGTGTTGACCTGTTAGGTGGCATCAACTTTGACGAAAGTGACTCTGCTGACGAGGATTTACCTCAAGATATCAATAAAAGCCTTACAGAACTGCTCTCGGCGCAAGTGCCCGAGACGGTTCCCAGTCTCTCCCCTCCTACGGCATCAGAGACATCATCTCACACGGCCGCCGCAAGCACACCAGAATCATCTACATCTGGCAATCCCAAAAACGAGGATGACACTGGCAAAGAGGTGGATGGGGCACCGAAAGCATACAACAACACCACTTGCTCTTGTCTATCCCAAATCTTCCTTTCCCTGGACGCCTTATCGAGACTACCAAACGATGTCAAGATTGCAATGGGCATAGCCAGGTCCGCCGCGAGGGTGGCCCACGACGTCATCCACTGCCCATCCTGCAGTCTCACTGATATAACGAAGCCGCCGCCGATGCAGGCATTCCAAAACATGATGATGCTGGGCGCCATCCTCCCGTCAACAGCCAACGCCTACGCCAAGATTCTCGAGCTCATCGACAACGAAGCCTCTCAGGCCAAGAAAGAGAAGAGGAACATCACGTTTCGCTTCGCCGAGTATGGCGGGCTGTGGGGCGAGTTGAGCAGACGGGATACCGACTGCGGCGCGATAGAGACGTTTGACAATCGAGAGATGGACCCGGACAGCTGGAGGCTATCCGTCAGGGGCCTGCTGAAAATCGACATTTACGGGCACGATTTCCAGAGGTCAGATGGGGCGAGATCTACGGTACCCTACCATCACCTCGGTCTCAAGGATGTCATCAAGCAGATGGAGGATCGGTCAAACAACCGACATGACAAGCTCGACGAGATGGTCGCGGCCGGGCTTCCCCATCCGATGCTGCACTCAGATCAGCACCTGATGGTTCCGCAGGGCAAGGACGACGGCAAGGAGAATCGGCACTGCCTGAAGATTATTGAGATTGCGCGTGTTGCTTTGGACAAGCTGGTGATAGCTTAAAGGTCGAGAAGGAGGTTTTTTTATCCGATTATTTGTTTTTAGATGGCTCACTACAGGATGAACGGTATTACGACGGCAACATGTTGGCTACTGCTAGGTATTTTGGCGCATAGGATGCAAAAAGCGAATTTGGAACGGGGACTTGGCAATATTAGACTCTCGCCTAGCGTAATTATACCTTGAAAGAAAGACAATCTTTTGACATTCAGTGGCCGGAACATGGTCGAAAAAGTCGAAGATTGAAACATTCCACTCCATGATAACCTCACACTAGTGCCCGTACGTCCCCATTTCAACCCCGAGTTGAAGAACGGGTACGGAGTACTTAGCTTGGAAGATGCATTGTTTAGATGGCTTTGATGCGCAATGCCGTGCTACCTCGGAATGTTAGCAAGCAGATGAGATAATCTCGACCCCCCAAAGTCAACGTTCCATGACAGCTTCCATGCAGATGAGATGTGAGACGGGGCTATGTTTGCCCTGGGCAACGCCGGGCAACCAGTTTCTCGGGACGAGCTTGGATGCCTGGGCAAAGCCAAATTTGTGGGAAGAGAATCGCCTGGCCCGTCAGCGGCGGCATTATGATTTGGGAGCACGAGACATTGTGAGGTTGTGGCTGGAGAATATAGTACAGCAGAGGATTGGCTTTTTTGTCAGGGTTTTTTTTTTCCTTTGATGGATGGTTAGCTGGTGACAACAAAGGAACGATGATTCTATTGATAGATGGCGATGAGTCGTGCAAGAGTCCGAGATGGAGTGAGACCGAATAATAGCGGGATCCAAGTAAGTTACACATCAAAGGCTTCGGTATCGCATTTTCGAACGGGTTTGGGGTGTGGGATTTGGGGTTGTTTCTTGACCTCGTATCAGATCTTCCTATCCTTTTTTTTGCCTGCCCTATTTTCCTTTTGGGCTTCGTTTCACGAAATGGAGCAGATTGTCTACGGGGTAAGTAACTGACTTCGAAGAGACCGGAGATGGTAGACTCGGTGGTCTGCGGAGACAGGGGAAATGGGGGAGCATGGGGCCAAGCGCCTGTGAATCTATTAAATCGGGGTTCTCGGCACCAGGCCGGCGTGCGTTTGGGTTGTTAGTGCAAGAGAGTGTCGAGAATTTGGCAGACTTGTGTGTCCCGTTCTGTCCTGTTGTGGCTTGCCCAGGTCAACGGCTTTTTCAGGCAGGGCAGATGGTTTTTGGGACGGATATTGGCCGCTGCAGCCACATTGATGGTTTAAGGTCTCTTGGCCTTTGCATGATACGATCCGTAGAAATAGATAGGTGGTGATGGTGGTACCTAGTTTAAGGAGGTAGGTAGGTCAGGTGGTGGATCTTAAACGGCGGTGATTTCTCCGGTCCGTCGTCCGCTCGTAGGCCGCGGCCTCCTGAGCTTTACCTCATTTTAGGCTACCCAAAAGACAAATCTCGTGATGTTTTTCGCCGGCGGTGCCATGCAGACGGCGGTGTCTCTCCGTCCTTTTTAAAATCTCCTAATCTCGCCTCGATCCACCCGAGCCCCCAAGCTCCAAACTGTAAAACCCGTGGAAGCCAACAACATTACGGATACACACAAGCCTTGGCTGGTGGCCCCCCTCGTGCCTGTCCTGACTCCGTCTATCCGCCCCCCTAGCCTGTAGGTGCTCCGTAATACAGAGGAAGTATTGCTCCAGGCGAGTTTACGGCAAGTCTGGGCCGTGGGAAAGTGACTAATGGAGGATCCCCCAAGGCGGCAAAGCCAGGTGTGTTAAGGTATGCGGGGACGCTAAGCCCAATCAGAAGTAAGCTTGTGTCAGGACCTGGGCCATGATTTCCTCCATTGCCTTTATCCCATTTCTTTGTACTACGTACAGTACCTTACTCTGTATGTATCGTACCTTTACTCATCAATAGCTACCATCAATAGGTCTGCTCATCATCATCACCATCCTGAGGTGCTCGCTCGAACAGACACAAACACCAGACCGCTCACTGACCGTGGCTCATACCTACTTTGGTACCAAGGCGCCACGGTGCCAAGATATCGACTCTTCACCTACCGCAGTTGCCTAAGCTGAAGGCTGAAGCTCCCCCAAGTCTGTGCTGCATGTCACTTTCTTACTCCGCCTCGTGACAGCCCGCCCTTCTGGCCCATCAATCCCCGACGACGATCACCTTTTCTTTGCCTGTCCGCTCCTCGCTACACCTTGGCCCGCTTCTCTTCTTTCTATCTCTGTGTTTCTCTTTTTTTGCACTCTCTTCCTCTTAACCATCCCTCCTCGCGCAGACCTTTCCAAGGTCTCTTACTTGTGTTCCTTCTTCCTTTTGCCGCCGGTTTCCATATTTCGAATTCCTTCCTTTTTCCTACGGGTACCCCAAATCCACAACGCAGTTGCATACGCTTGTCTCGCATTCACTCCTAATCCGTCAGCCAAAAACCCGTTGTTCGACCTAAAGCGATCGACCCTCCTCCCACCCCAAAGAACGTCATCCACATACCGACGGCCGCTTTATCGCCCCCCCTTCCGACCAAACATCACCCCGTCATTCGCACGAGACCGCCCTTTTTCTCTCTGTCCCTCCCTCTGCTAGTCCCATTTCAACACCCCCCGACCCGGCCAGGCCAATGGCCCCTCCGCCACCCTATCTGATAGCGACTGCCGCCCAAGATGTTCCTACTTCACTCGCCGCCTTCGTAGCAGCTACAGCAACAGCAGCAGTCGACGCAGCAGCAAATACCATGATTCCTATTGCGACCCCAACAGAAGCCCTCGACGGCGCCGTCGCGACCTTCACGAGCGCTGTCGCTGCGGCCACGGCTACCCACGCTGCAACACAGGGCGAAGAAGGTGGCAACGGCGAGTGCAGCCTGCTTGGCTCCTTTGCCCTCATCGTCCAGGCAGCCCTGGGCGGCCTTGCCTTGCTGGCGTTGGTTTTCAAGCGCTGGAGGGAGCGGCCACAACGTCCAGTCAAGATCTGGTTCTTCGACGTTTCGAAGCAGGTGTTTGGCTCGGTTCTCGTCCACATCGCCAATATCTTCATGTCAATGTTGACGTCAGGGCGCTTTTCTGTGACACTGGACCCCGCAACCACAGCCAACGCGCAGAGGTTAATGAGACGCGGCGAGGACTACACGCCAAACCCGTGCTCCTTCTACCTGCTCAATCTCGCCATTGATGTAAGCAAACTACTCGCTTCCATTCTTCCTCCGACATTTTACTAATATGCGTCTTGCAGACCACCATCGGTATCCCCATCCTCATCGTACTTCTCCGCGTCCTGACAGGCCTTGTCGCGTACACGCCCTTGGGCAAGCCTGAGGAGTCGATCCGGTCCGGCAATTATGGCACACCTCCCAACGCCTGGTGGTGGCTGAAACAGTCCTTTATCTACTTCTGCGGCCTGTTCGGCATGAAGTTCTGCGTTCTCATCATCTTCCTCCTCCTGCCCTGGATCTCGCGCGTCGGCGACTGGGCCTTACGGTGGACCGAGGGCAACGAGCAGCTGCAAATCTTCTTCGTCATGATGTTCTTCCCGCTCGTTATGAACGCCATGCAGTATTACATCATCGACTCTTTCATCAAGCAGCCCCAGCACGAACACGAGCGACTACCGGAGGAGGACCCCGACTGGAGCTCGAGACATGCAGGCGTCAGCCCGTACGACGACGCCGACTCGGCAAGCGAGGAGGGCGCGAATTCGGACGACGGAGCGAGCTTGAAGCTGAAGAAGGCGAAACATGCGGATGATGCCGAATACGACCCGGACACGGACGGCGACGCACCGACGGTCATTGGTAGCAGCTCGAGCCGGACAAACCACCAGAGAAGGGATAAGGATATTTCGGCGGAGTTGTTCCCAAAGGAGTGATGTGAGCTTTGTTTTTTGTTTGGTTTAAGCTAGGAGTTGGAGCTAGAAACCTGTATAATCGGACCAGGTCTAGATGGCCTCCAAAGGGCTGTAACAATACTGGTGTTTGGTTTAAGCGCATCATCCCTTGTCAGTCCTCATGAATCATATTCAGATCTTGGACTTCCTGAATTCTTTCGGTGACCGCCCGAGTCCTTGATATGAAGTCTCGTTATATGGTGAATTTACTAACGGGGTCTATTGTACACTCATTCCGACGTCACACTTGAGGACGGCCTCGGAGAATGTATTCTTGTAATTGTGTCCGCGAAACCCCTCCAAAATAGCAGAGCTGGTCACCGGAAATGCCTCAAGTTGGCCGAGACCGCGGGGATCGGTCCGGAGCCGGGTGCTACTCCGCGGTTCCGTCTGCACGACAGATCCACTGCCCGGACGGCACGATGAGGGGGTAGCTTCCGTCCAACATTAGTACCTGCCCACATCATCGAGTGAAACGTATATCGACGCACTTTATTTGATGTATGTGAATAACAGTGACCGGGATTCTACACCGGTTACAGGGACTGCAGGAAATGTGAGTTCGAACTCTTTGCCTGAACGGGCCGGGGTCGGGTGGAACTGCGGTTTGCATCGTCTCCACATGCAGGCGTCGTGGACTCTTGTGAACGCGAATAACTTCGCCGTTGAGCTGCATGTCTTTTTGTGTTGGTTTCTGTACGCTAAGGTGAGGGGGTCCTCGATGCCTACGCCCATGATGTGACATCTTTCACGTTAAATCAGGCCTGCTTGCTCCTCAAACGTAGTGCGAGATTTATTGAGTGAGGTTGATTTGCATTGATCAGCAGTAACTTGATTTCCCAACTCTGCAGTCCACAATACTCAAAGAAACATGGCAGAAATTGACCACAAAGTTGTCATTGCTGCCAATGATGGGGCGCTGTGTCCTTCAAAACTTTGCGTGTACCTCCTCGTGGCAGTGGACTGACAAGCATCATGTACTTAGATTTTGGATGATGGCCAGGTTGAAGTCAAAGTAAGCCATTAAGATTCTCCTTTGTGAGCGGTTTGGCATGTTCTAGCTCCTCTGAGAGTATCGCCTCGTCTGGCACAAGCGTTTCTAGTTCAATTCTAGACTACCGCTTCGAGAACGGCCAGATCTACCATCGGTGTAAAGACGGGAGTGAGTTCAGGAAATCTTACCTTGCAATCTATCATTTTGATCGTGCGGAAAGCTAACAAATCTGCAAGAGTACAATATCCCTAAGGATGAGAGGGAAATGGATAGACTAGGTGAGAGTTGTCACATATTTGTGTTCCTAGGATTTAAAATCTGATCGCGTTTCGATAGATCTGCAATATCACATCTGCCTCATGACCCTGGGCGGCAGACTCGGTCTCGCGACTCCTTACCAAGCAGGCACTGAGGTTGGAAGAGTCCTCGATCTCGGTACCGGAACCAGCATCTGGGCTATCGAATTCGGCGATGACCACCCGGAGGCCGAAGTAAGTTACGCCCCATCGATACACAACGTTTCTTAGGACGTATCCTGAATATTCAAACTGCCTCAGGTTCTCGGCACTGATTTGTCCTCGATCCACTCAAAGTTGTAAGTCGACTCTCAAGCCGGACATTTAAACGACGTACCCGTTATGATAAAAGGACTAGAAAACTCACTCCATTGCCCAGCGTAAACCCAAACGTCCAATTCGAAATTGACAATCTCGAAGAAGACTGGACCTACGCCCACAAACTCGACTACATCCACAGCCGCTTCATGACCTCCAGCATCGCCAACTGGAAAGACCTCCTCACAAAGTCGTTTGAACACCTCGTCCCCGGCGGGTACATCGAACTCCAAGAACCCGACCTCCGCGCCGAATCCGATGACGCGTCCCTCCCGAGCAGCTGCGCGCTGAACAGGTACTGCGATCTTCTGCGCGAGGCCATGAGCCTGCTCGGTCGCGAATACGTCTCCGTCCCGAGGTTGAAGACCGTCATGGAGGAGATTGGGTTTGTGGACGTGGAGCTTAGTCGGTACAAGTGGCCTGTGAATACCTGGCCAAAGGAGGCAAAGTTCAAAGAGCTGGGGGCGTACAATCATGAGAATATTGTAGGGGCTGTTGAGGCGTTGGCCATGATGCCGTTTACGCGGGCTTTGAGGAGGAGTCGCGAGGAGGTCGAGGGGTTCTTGGGGGATGTGAGGAGGGATTTGAGGAATCGGGAGTTTCATGCGTATTTCCCTGTGTAAGTGGTGATCTAAAATCATCTTTTGTTGAGATGTTTGTGCTAATTGGTCTGTCCAAGGTATTTCATCGTGGGAAGGAAGCCGGAATAGGAGGGAGCGGGTCAACTCTTTCGACAGCTTGACGGGAACGTCTTGTAAATCAACTTCAAATCACATTGCGAAAGAGTCCTCCAGGGCTACGTATATGAAGGTCAGATAAGGAGAAGCGTTCCCCTCGACACGTGTTAGAACTTCCGACTAGCAATCTGTGTGCTGTCATCTTGTTCGTAGAAACTAAAGGAGAGGTCGAAGGTCATGTTGGTTGTACCGGTCATGTTTAGAGAGAGGGATGTGCAATCAGTCACATATCGAGTCAGTTACCGCGAAAGCAAGTGTGAGGACCATGCAGAACAAGACAAGGTATTTTGATCCCCCTGCCTTGAGGACTTCGCTTTCCATTCGGCGGCAGCTCCCTCGGGTCCACTCAGAATGCTGCCGAGGATCAACTTCGCCGGTGGCATGCGTTGTGGGCGTATCTTTCTCGTTGACTTGATTCGAGTCTGATTCAGGGGTTATAAGCGATGGCATGTTGCTTTGCCACAAATCTGTCCAGATTTCCTCGCCTTCTGATCTCATGCCCTTGGTCAAATTCCTGCCTCTAACTCATCGCCAATAAACTGCAGAACGTCAATCTAGCCCGAACAACACTTGTAATCATGGCTGAAGTCGACCACGAGATCAGCATTGTCGCTGATGAACAGGTACGTTGGCGTGTCCATGTGACAGATACCCTCGGTTCGAGCTTATAGTAGTCATAGTCTCTGAAAGACGGTCAAGCAGATAGGGAGAGCATTGCTTCCTCTAGCACAAGCCTTAGTGGCTCAATCTTGGACTACCGCTTCGAAAATGGACGGACGTACCACCGTTACAAAGACGGGAGTGAGTCATGCGTTCTCCGTCTCTTTGTAAGAGCTGCTGTTTTGCCTGCCGTGCTGACTGCATTGGAAACAAGAATATGTGATTCCCAATGATGAGCGAGAGAATGCTAGAATGGGTATGTCACCTCACGGAGTCCTTGATCAGACTCAAAGTATGTGGCTCACGTGCCTAACACGGCTAGACATGCAACATCACATATGCCTCATAACCCTCGGTGGCCGGCTTGGACTTGCACCTCCATGCCAACCCGGCGTCAAGGTTGATAAGGTGTTGGATGTTGGTACAGGCACAGGAATCTGGGCAATTCAATTCGGCGATGATCACCCTGAAGCCGAGGTAAGCTCAAACGTGATGATAGATTTCGAATGCGTGTTGACTGTGGACAGGTACTCGGCGTTGGTCTATCTGCTACGCAGCCAGACGTGTGAGTTTCTGAATCTTTGAAGCTGTTGGGGAATAGGACTAAGCAATCGAACTTCCCAGCGTAGCTGCGAATGTCCAATTTGAAATTGACGACATTGACGAGGAGTGGACGTATACCATCCCGTTCGACGACATCCACAGTCGCTTCACGTCGTCAAGCATCGCAGACTGGAAGGTATACCTCACCAAGTGTTTCAAGTAAGTACGATTCTTACGTCCTGGTCATAAGAAATCCAGCCGCTAATTACTGTAAGTCATATCCAACCTGGCGGTTTTCTAGAGTTGCAGGAGCCAGAGATGGAATTCCAGTCCGACGACGGCACGTTTCCTGCAAGTTGCCCATTGGCCAAGTACGGCAACCTCCTCAAGGAAGCAGCCGCCATCTTTGGGCTTGAATACGTCTCGGTATCCTCCTCGAAGACACTGATGCTCGAGGTGGGCTTCAAGGACGTGACGCTGAGCCGGTACAAGTGGCCCATCAACACCTGGCCCAAGGACCCTTCGTTCAAGGAACTAGGCGACTGGGGCTTCGAGAATAGCAATGCTGGTCTTGAGGTTATTTTCATTGCACTTCTGACGCGCGCTCACAAATGGACTAGGGAGGAGGTGGATGTCTTTTTGGCTGATGTCCGGAAGGACCTGGCTAACAGAACTACCACACCTACGTTCCGATGTAAGCCGCCTCTGTTTTCTGGTCATCAGTCATCAGCCGAACATGCTTTGCATGCTGACTTGAGCAACTTAGGTATTTTGTTATTGGACGGAAGCCAGAAGGAAATGGAGAGTAGGGGACTACACTGAGATTTTGAGGACTATGCCATCACCTTAAGACGGGGAGGGTTTAGGAAACGTGAATGGTAATAAGCCATCGTAAAGCCCAACTTCTGTTCCCATCTAGAGACTCAATCTCTTCTTTTAAACAAAACAAATAGAACCATGCCGCCAAACGATGGCGTTTCAATCTTCGCTCTGCTTGTCGATGACACCGATTCGATTTTGTGGTTGAAGCCGGGGTGACTCGGACCTTTGTCTCGGCTCCGGACTGATCCAGAAGGTCAGGCGTTGCATCCAACAGCTCAACCACGGGTTTGGGCGCCTCGATACTAAGCAACGAACGACAGTCCCCTCTCCGTCCCACAATTTCCATCTAAATGGAGACAACTTGGCCGCTGTGGTTGCATTATGCAATGCACATTTCGTTCTGTTGGCCCTGCTCAGGAAGATGGGCCGGAAAGAGGGGGTTACAATCGAATGTTTTGGTCGCAACAAATAGACAAGCTTGTGCCTCCCCCGCCACCCGAATGCCTTTTACTTCTCGTCAAGATTCTTGCTCTTACGTTGCTCATATTTCTGTTTGAAGGGGAAACATTGAGATTGGACATTCTGTTCACTGCGCGAACGAGCCCTTGCGAGCATGGCTTCCATCGTGAATAACGAGGTCCAGCTTGTTGCTGAAGACCATGTACGTGTAACTGGATTCGGGCACTAAGTAAATAGTAACTCATGCAAAGTATAGGTCAATGTGACCGACAGAGAGGCTGATATCGAGGTGAGGACAACACCAACCTCGCGCTCTTCTCACTACTTAGATCTTCTCACTCATGCTGCTCTTTGGACAGAGTATTCAATCAGAGACAACGAGCATCAAGGCATCTATGCTCGAGTGGCGCCAAGAAAATGGTCGAACTTATCATAAGTACAAGGATGGCAGTAGGTAAAGCAGGCGCTTTTCGACTGCAACCAGCGGTTGACCAGCTTCGCTAGAGTATCTCGTCCCCAATGATGAGACAGAGCTCGATAGACTTGGTAAGGCAAACTTCCGCCGGCTAGTGTCTTCTTACACTGACCGGGCGCAACAGACATGCAGCATGAGATCTTCTATCTCACGTGGGATGGAAAGCTAGGCGTAACCCCTCCATGTGAGCCTGGCGCAAAAGTTGGTCGTGTTCTCGATCTCGGCACGGGTACTGGATTGTGGGTAATCGATTTTGCGGATCTGCATCCTGAAGCCGAAGTGAGTCTTCATTCTACGTGACGCCGCTCACCTCTTACACGCCATGATCGAGAAGTGGCTAACAATCACCTCCCCTTTAGGTGCTGGGCATGGACCTTTCTCCTGTTCAGCCGTCAGAGTACGTCGATTCCTCATGAAAGACTAGCCAGCTATGAAAAGACACCCGGAAGACTAATCATTCATATCTCACAGCGTTCCGCCCAATGTGAGATTCGAGATTAATGATATCGAGGAGGAGTGGCTTTACTCACGGCCATTCGACTACATTCATAGTAGAATCATCACGGGCGGCATCAGCGACTGGAAGAAGATGATAAAGAAGGCCTACGAGTAAGTGTTCTCACCAGACTACAACTCCGCGAAAGATATCTGACACCTTTCCCAAACATAAAGCCACCTCACGCCCGGTGGATGGTACGAGATACAGGAGTCAGACATGTCCCCAGCCGCCGACGATGGGACATTGCCCCCCGAGAAGGCATTGTCTAAATTCGGCGCCCTGATCCGCGAAGCTTACGTGGTGATGGGTGTGCCCCTGGTCCACGTTCCTGATCTGAAAGACGTCCTCACAGAGGTCGGGTTCGAAGAGGTGGAGCTGACCGTCTTCAAGTGGCCTACGAATCCTTGGGCCAAGGATCCCAAGTATAAGAAGATCGGGGCGTGGAATTACCATAACTTTGGTGGCGCGGTCGAAACCGTCTCCTTGGCGCCCTTGACCCGGGTACATGGCTGGACGAAGAAGGAGGTGCTGGTGTTCGCAGACGAGGTGCGGAAGGACCTCCGGGATCCAAAGGTTCACTCTTACTTTCCCATGTAAGTTCTAATGTGCTTTCGTGCTCATTCGTGCTGAAGGTCTTTCTGACAACGTTGTAGCTACACGCTTGTGGGTAGGAAGCCCTTAGAGGCAGCGACTAAGCCGACGGCTACCGAGGCCGCTCCGGCTGAGGCCTCAACTTCACCACAGTGATTTCCAAGGCCTTATCACGCTGGTTGGTCGCTTGATCAAGACGGCTTGCCAGATTACAGCCCAGGCATGGGCCTTTCTGGAGAGATGACATGGCATGGCTCTGAACTTTGGCGATGTCTTAGATGATACAACGGCAATTGTGACTGGCCTATCAGAAAGTGTGAAACCGGCAGCTTTTATTTTGAGCCTTCGGATAGTTGCTTAATAAACTCGGTCGATTTTTCCCCAGTCATGCTGGGTGTCCCATCGCCTATCGACTCTAAGCTTGTTGATACTGAGTGGTAGGAAACCGTATTGACTTGTCGCTGTTAGTTACTGACTTAGGATGGTCAACAAGAGGATGAGATCTACCGCCATATTTGAGAGCAAATGTGTGTTTGTTGTCTGTTTTGAGAACCCTCTAGTCGTTTGGTGCGGCTAAGAAACCAAACACTAGCCTGGCGGGCGATAAGCCCGCCTCCCGCGGCGGGGGGTGCCTTCTCCCTGCCCCTGCCGCATCTCCAGTTTTTTCGGTCTGTAAAGAGGCAACGTCGCCGCTCGCCTGCATCATGCGCTGTGCACGTAGACAATGTGGACGGCGACCGGTTGGCAAGCCGCGCTTGGCAGGCCACAGGTCGGTTCGGCAATAAGGGGGTCAATTCCTCTGACCATCTTCAAAAACTTCGCACCATCATCACCTCGCGAGGTTCCGAAACTGGTCTGCACTTCGCGGGTCTTTCGGCACAGGGAACCTGAGCATTCGCTTACACCAAAAGACACTCATCAAGACAGCCTTAAAAAACTACTATCATGGCCGCCACACAAGACGACCCTGATGTTCACCTGGTTGCTGATGACGAAGTACGGATCAGTGCAAACATTGCGCAATCTAGTGACCCAATGCTGATGAACATCGATCCAGATTTCCGATAGCGAACAGGATCTTGAGAGCATTCGCTCAGAGACCACTAGCATAAAGGACTCTATCCTTGAGTACAGAATTGAGAATGGAAGATCCTACCATAAGTACAAGGATGGGAGTGAGTTACTCTTTTATGCTGTAGATTCATATTGTCAATGATCTGCTGACATGTATCAGAATATGCGTGGCCTAATGACGACAGGGAGAACGACAGGATGGGTGAGTTTCTAATCCTGGGATACCCTTTTATGATTGCTATTCGTCTAAGTTGGACATATTAGATATGCAACACGAAATATGCCTCCTCACATTCCACGAGAGACTTGGATTCGCCCCTCCTTGTGACGAAGGTGCAAAAGTCGGCCGCGTTCTTGACCTTGGCACCGGGACCGGCCTCTGGGCTATTGACTACGGTGACCAACACCCAGAGACGGAGGTTGGTGCTGGTTTCTACCAGAGTCTCTGAAAACGAAGATAATGTATCTGACATTGAGACCTAGGTGCTAGGCGTCGATCTGTCTCCCATCCAGCCACGAGAGTGCGTAAACTCTCTCAAATGAAGCCCGTAAAGCTGCTAACCATATGTATAAGCGTCCCTCCTAATGTCAAATTTGAAGTCGACGATGTCGAGGAGGAATGGCTGTATTCTCGGCCCTTTGATTACATCCACCTTCGATTCATGAACGGGTCTATTTCAGACTGGAAGAAGATCATTCAAAAAGCCTACGAGTGAGTATAATCTCTGAGAGTCTTTACCTTGCTCGTTGTCTTAACGATATCTCGTTGCGGAGCCTCACGACCAGAGCTGACAAACTTGTTCGTCTGATAGTCATCTCGTCCCCGGTGGCTATTTTGAGATTCAGGAAGGCGATTTTGTCATCAAAGCTGACGATGATACTTTACCCCCTGAGAAGCCTCTGGCTCAGTTTACTTCCCTCATTCGAGAAGCTGCAGAGAAGTTTGGGCGCAGATTCGCTCCTATCCCCGAGATGAGGGAGGCCATGGTCGATGTTGGGTTCGAGAACGTTGTTCAACAGGATTTCAAGTGGCCCTCCAACCCATGGCCGAAAGACGAGCACTACCAGAGAATCGGCGAATGGAACTTCCATAACTTCGTGGATGCCGCTGAAGCTATGGCTCTTGCACCTTTGACCCGAGTTCACAATTGGACGAAGGAGGAGGTTCAAGTCTTTCTTGTGGGTGTTCGTAAGGACATGAGGGACAAGAAAATCCACTCGTACATGCCTATGTAAGTTTCTCTTGATCTTGGATCATTCTAACGAAGAATATTCTTCAAAACTAATAACTCTGTCTCTACAGTTACACTCTTGTGGGCAGGAAGCCGGTGAAAGAAGCCACCCCAGCCCCGCCTCAAGACCAGAATGCGGCAGCAACTCCAACTTCAACTCAGTGAACCTATTTTCATGACCTTCCAAGATATCGTCGGAAAATATTGAGCTTCGCTGGAGCCGGTTCGGAGGATTGGCAGATTGACAAGAACCCCAGTCTAATCTGAGGGGAATTGTTGGACAATATCAGCATTCATCATCCGAAGAGAATCGATGACTTGGCTGTGTAACTCCTTGACCGAGACTGGCGATTCGACCGAGGCATCAAGAATTCTCAGACATGGGTGAGAGGCTGGCGCACCGCGGACACGGGACGGCTTCCGATAGTGGACAGTCCAGATTCTGCGGTTGCAGGGGTTGGCTGACCGAAGTGGCAAGTGGTTAGATCTCAGGATGCTGTTGGAACTTGTCTTCACATGCCCATGTCGCATTCTTTGTCTCTTCATTCGGCCGTAGTTTTCTCTGCCCCATAATTGTCTGCAATGGGGAAACTGCACCGTCGAGATGCATATGCATGTTTGCTCGTTGGTTCCTTCGCCGAACCCCAGCTCAGAAGAGGGGTGGCGGGCTGAGATCGACTGTCTTTGTCACAAAAACAATGAATGACCCCTCAATAATTTTCTTCATCACCCTGTCCTAGGATTCTTTACACTTGGCGTAGTGCTCTGATATCATCAGTATTGGAAGGCAAACAGCAAGATCGGCACGAGACTTGCCAAAGCGCTAGACCCCCAAGATGGCCGAACCGAGCACCACTGCAACACCCCGAATTGTGGCAGACGATCAGGTAAAGCCACCATGCCCTCCTGAACTATGAATGGGTTCTAAATTCGTTTAGCATGAAGATGTTCGGTCAGATATTGGAAGCGTATGTGCAAGCTACACTCCGACTCTTCAACGCATCATGAGTCTTACTTACATGCTTGACATAGAGCATTGCTTCTTCAAGCACCAGTCTCCGAGCCTCAATCCTGGACTACCGCGTCGAGAACGGCAGAACATACCACCGGTACAAAGATGGCAGTGTGTTTACTCTTGCCTATCACTGAAGAGCTTTCCTAACTTTGACTGAGAATACACGATTCCTAACGATGAAAGGGAAATGGAAAGGCTAGGTAGAATCCACTAGCTCACGTTCTATACAAACCCTCACTAACATTCACCATAGACATGCAGGATGAGCTTTGGGCCATCTCAATGGACTTCGCATCAGGAATGGCTCCGCCTGGGCAGTTGGATGCTGAAGCTGGACGAGTCCTCGACGTCGGCACCGGCAGTGGCATCTGGGCAATTAACTATGCAGACGATCATCCCGATGCTGAGGTACCAAGATTCCCCTAACATTGAAAATAGTTGTTGTCGAACATACTTGACTGACTTTGTTTCCCCGTTAGGTCCTTGGTATTGACCTCTCTCCAACCCTCCCTGACTAGTATGCGTCTCCTTCGTCCCTATCTTAGGCGTTGCTCGTAGAACTAAGGGCTCTGTGCAAAAATCGGCTAACATAGATTTCATTCAGCGTACCACCAAATGTCAAATTTGAGGTTGATGACGTCGAAGAGGAATGGACGTATTCAAGGCCTTTCAATTATATCCACAGCCGTGTTATGACAGGCAGCATCAGCGACTGGGATTTGTATCTTCGCAGGTGCTACGAGTAAGTCTATTCATCCTTCTACGTTGCGATCTACATATGATTACCGCATAAGCTGAATCGTGTGTCAATCAAGCAACCTCGTACCTGGTGGGTGGGTTGAATTGCAGGAGATTGCTGTATACTGCGACTCTGATGACGGGACGCTGACCCCAGACCACGCGATTTCCAAATGGAGCAAGCTACTGCACGAGGCAACGATCAAGCTTGGACGTCCTTACATTGATCCCGAAGGCCTCCCAGAGAAGGTGCGGGCTGCCGGATTCGTTGACGTTGCTATCACTGCATTCAAATGGCCTCTCAACGACTGGGCCAAAGACCCAAAATATAAGCAACTGGGCAGACTCCAGCTAGAAAATGGTTTAGCTGGCATCGAGGGTTTCACCATGGCAGCGTTTACCAGAGCCTTCGAGTGGACTGCTGAAGAGGTTAACGTGTTCCTCATTGACGTGCGAAAGGATGTCAACAACCGGCGAATTCACGGCTACCTTCCAACGTAGGTCACAGCGATTTCCATGCCATCAGGTCCATTCTGACTCCCGATGTAGCTACTCCATCATTGGACGCAGGCCAAGCAAGGAAGAAACCTCAGCTGCCCCAGCTCCTGCTTCCTCAGAGACAACTGCTTCACCAGAAGCTCCTGCTGCCCCTGAGGCTTCCGCTTCTACTTCCTCTCAGGCCCAAGCACCGAGCTCATCTTGATAACATGGTTCGGAGCGACGGTTGTCGACTGAGGTTGCGTTCGAGACGGGATCTAGCGGCTCTAGTCGCTTTAGTGTCAGTCTTACCCGGGGGTTTGCAGGGATAGAGCGACTTGCAACCCACGAATCATACGGATGCAAACAATAGCGGCACCAAGCTGCAAGTTTCAATGTCTAAGCAACCATGAAGGCATGCACTAGAGATGGAGGGGCGGCTTCCTTTCTGATTCTGCATGCCTGCTTTAATGTCGTGCTGGGATGACAATGACGGAATGACTAGACAATATTCTATGACTTGCTTAGACATGAACAACAAACAATTTACGCTCGCCGTAATCTTTCTATCCAAATGGCTTATGGCTTAAGTTGCGGTTCAATTGCCGAATGGTCTTCTTCGAGTCGAGGCTTCCATGGTTACCAGCCAGGCTCTATTGTTCGTTGAGCTGGCACCTTGTCAACTGCACACTGTTGGACGCCAGCGGCATGGGTAAGGGAAAGCTAGTTGACTAACAGTCTCGATGTTTGCCTCGAGCCTTTGCAGACAAGGATGGGAGCGGCCGAGGTCAGATGTGACAAGCATTACCATCCATTCAGTGGAAGACATTATTTTCCCCTTGTCCGAAATTGGACCTTCCTATTCGGTCGCATCTTCTTCAGTTCCACATTTGTTTGCAACGCGGTGGCAACGCCATCGGTGCGCATATGCATGTTTCCCCGTTGGTTTCTCTTGCGAAGAAGAGGGGTTGGCTGGGGGCATGTTGGCAAGGCCGGTTTTGTGCTTTGCACAAAAGGGATTGTAGAGCCCAGTCCAACCCCCCATCGCTGCTACTCTTCAGTCTTTTTTTCCCCCGAATTTGTGACATACCTTACTTGTTGACAGACTTGACCCAGTACTGTGGTTCAGTAAGATTGACTGAAGCTTTCGACACGGCCAACATGGCTCATGACAATAACGCCGCGGTCCTTGACGTGGACGATGTAAGTGGAGCTACCCTTCCGTAATATAACGATCTTTGCTTCACAAGTATACTGATTGTAAAATATCAGGATGATATTCGTTCAGAAGTGGGAAGTGTAAGCTCAAGCTCGTTATGCCAGAGGCAGTACCCCAGACTGAAGAGGAAGGCCAATATCTCATACACTGTCTCATCTTCCAGAGCGTAGCTTCGTCAAGCACCAGTATTCGCAATTCTCTTCTTGACTACCGTCTCGAAAATGGCAGGACCTACCACCGATACAAAGACGGCAGTATGTGCATTCGTGCTTTTGGCTTGTTCAAAGGCTTCATTCTGACGCAGCTCTAGAATACAATCTTCCCAACGACGAGCGAGAATTGGACAGGCTAGGTACGCTATCTCACATGGTTCCGCCTTCTACGACAACACTTCTCTGACTTTGTATCCAGATTTGCAGCATCATTTGTGGCTTCTTGCGCTCGACGATAGACTTGGAGTTGCCCCGCCTTGCAGGGAAGGCACCAAAGTCGGTCGGGTGCTCGATGTTGGAACTGGATCTGGCATTTGGGCCCTCAACTTTGCCGATGAGCACCCTGAAGCTGAAGTAAGTCTGCGATGTGGGCTCATCTCGTCTCTTGGTGTGCTCCCTGATATAAAATGTACTTCATCTGACTGCGACTGCTTAATAGGTGTATGGCATTGATCTATCGCCGACTCTTCCTGGCTAGTGAGTTGACTTCACAAAGGCGTGTATACGAGATACAATTCCTGACAGATTTCATCGTCACAGCGTGCCCCCAAATTGCAGATTTGAAGTCGATGATGCTGAGGAAGAGTGGACATGGTCCCGGCCATTTTCCTACATCCACAGCCGAGTTATGACTTCCAGTATCGGTGACTGGAAGCTGTATCTTCAGCGTTGTTATGAGTGAGTCTTTACAACTTGATGCATCAAATATTCTTGGTTGAGAAAGAAGTACTTCAAACATGAACAGCACGCTGACTCTTTGAATCAAGCAATCTGGAGCCTGGCGGATGGATTGAACTGCAGGAGTTCGATCTCTATCCGCGATCAGACGATGGAACTCTCACGCACGAGCACTCGCTGATTAAGTGGTGTGACCTCCTTCTCGAGGCATCAGAGAAGTTCGGTCGCCCCTATGTTGAAGTCCCGCCATTGAAGGATCTTCTCACAGAGGTAGGCTTTGTGGACGTGTCGTTGGATCTGTACAAGTGGCCCACCAACACTTGGCCCAAAGATGAGAAGTATAAAGAAATCGGCTCCTGGCACGGCGAGAATGTCTCTAGCGGTCTCGAGGGCTTCACGATGGCGGCTTTGACGCGTGCCCTGGATTGGTCGCGGGATGAAGTCAACGTCTTCCTCATTGATGTACGCAACAACATCAAGGATAGAACCATCCACGCATGGTGGCCAGCGTAGGTATCCCGAGTAGTGGAGAGTTCAGGCCGAGGAGACTATTCAGCTGACACGATACAGATACTTCATCATCGGTCGTAAGCCAGAGAAGGTGGACAGCCCGGCTCCCCCGGCCCCTCCGTCCCCTGAAGCCGCTGCCTCCCCTGCGGCTCAGACTCTGGCACCGGCTGAGACGCCATCTTCCCCTCCGGCTGCAGCTTCGGCTCCAGCTGAGAACACAGCTTACACTACGAGCCCGACTTCTGCTACAAGTCCAGCCCCATCTCAAAGCCACACGCCGGCTGCATCTTGATGGAAGTTTATGTGCAAGTGCTAGAGGAGGGACAAATTTGGATTGGGAGGATATTTTTATAGGACGCTCAATGTCAATGCTACTGACGTGAATGCATACAAGTGCAACATGACTTAGATTAGCGTAGGAGATTTGTACAAGGAGTTAATTGAATGGAACGAGTTACCGGCAAGCTGAATAATGTCTATACCATCTCTCTTATCTAAGCTGGATGTCAAAGGTTGTATAGCGATACAGAGGCTCTGCCCTCAGGTGGGTTACCTAGCTGGTCTTGACGGCGGCACTGAATACCAATGAGAATGTCTAACGTAAGAGACGCTATAGGAGAGTGGATCGGCTATGAGAACTGACACTAGTACGAGCGATGCAACCTTCACGCTATGGAATAAAAGATGGTTCGCATCGATATCTTACTTAGTCTTTGTAGGGAAGAAGCGGTTCGCCGCGGGCGTTGCTCCAAACTACCCATGACTAGTCATGTCGATGCGACTTCAGCACCTTCATTTTATTATCCTAAATAATGCAGTCGATGATCGTTGAGAAATTCAAGGCACAGAAAATGAAACTTGTTCGAAGCTGGTCCACGATGGTAGGCTAGCGGCGATGAGATTGCCTGATCCAACCGTCCGGTTATGGTGCAGGTCCGTCCTGCCCCTGTCACACTGCGTTCGATAAGGTGAATACCAAGCGACTGTGCCTCTTCCATGTATCCACTCTATCGATGGATGACCATTTCTAAAGACGCGTATGCATGTTGGTTTGGCCGTTCGTTGGTTCTTCTGTGCCTCTGTGGTCAAGGACAAGGGCGGGCTACCCCCAGAGTGCCGAATTCCATCACAAAAACAGCTGCTGCCCCGCGCCAGTCTTGACCTTGTTGTTTCTTTTCTCTTGATCTGTTTACGACAACCGAAAGGTTGGTTCCATACGCGAAACGTAATCATGAGCCGGTGTTATAACGAATTGTGACTCTGAACATGCCGCAAGATAATCGACCCGTTGAGATTGTGGTTGACCAGGAGGTAAGACTGAGCCCGCCAAACATCATTTGGCGTCTTATGTCTAAACAGACCTCAAAATTTAACAGCCAGAGACAAACCACGGTGACGTCGATTCAGCCTTTGGAGACGATGTAAGTTGTAGGTCCTGGACCTTCGAGGCGCCTCACATCGCTCACATCTCCTGCAAAGGACGCAGCTTCCTCCAGCATTAGCCTTCGAGAGTCTATCTTACAGTACAGGAATGAAAACGGCAGAACCTACCACCACTACAAAGATGGAGGTAACCTTAATCCATACGATCCACCATATTTGAGGGCACTTCTAAACCTGTACAAGCATATATCTTTCCCAACGATGACAAAGAGCTGGAGAGGCTAGGTACTTATGAGCCACTAGACATTTTGCTTCAACTTTCTTTTCTAACAAACGGTGTAGATTTAACGCATTCAATGTGGCTTCTCGTAACGGACAACAAGCTCGGCGTTGCTCCACCATGTCAACCTGGTTCCATGGTTGGCAGAGTACTCGACATAGGTACGGGCACCGGTATCTGGGCTCTTGACTTCGGAGACGAACACCCCGAAGCTGAGGTGAGTAATGCTCTTACGTATATGTGCCCTTCAAGCATGTCACCAATGCTACTGGCTGCTATGTTTGGCTGTTACTTACAGAGGTATCCGACAGGTTATCGCCGTTGATCTCTCACCGACGATGCCTTACTAGTGAGTATCTATTTCTCTTTAATGCTCGACATTCGCCAGCAAGCAGTTGCATGCGAGATAGGCTGACATTCTCTCTCAGCGTTCCACCCAACGTCAAGTTCCAAGTCACTGATGCTGAAGACCCTTGGACATACTCACGGCCTTTTCAGTATATTCACAGCAGAGTCATCACCTCAGGTATCAGCGACTGGCAAAAGTACCTAAAAAACTGTTATGAGTAAGCATGCCTCTACAATATCTGATATTTCTCAAAGAAAATGATGGCGAATAGCTGACTGGAAGCGACGCAAAGTTTTCTTGAACCCGGGGGTTGGGTTGAAGTGCAAGAAATCGACCTCTATCCGACGTCTGGCGATGGAACGCTGAGGCCTGATTCAGCACTTCAGACGTGGGCAAACTTGCTCGCAGAGGCCTCGGTGATATTAGGACGCCCGTTCCCTGACGTAGCCTCACTCAAACAGGTCATGATAGAGGCTGGGTTCGTCGACGTCCAGATGACCAAGACCAAGTGGCCGATCAATCCTTGGCCGAGGGACTACAAGTGGAAGGAAATAGGCATATGGAATAGTGAGAATCTCCGTACCGGTATCGAGGGCTTCTCTATGGCTGCGTTGACCCGTGGTCATAAGTGGTCTCGCGACCAGGTCGACCTTTTCCTCGTTCAGGTACGGAGGGATATCAAGGACCGAATGATTCATGGTTACTGGCCAATGTAAGCATGATCTCCGACATTTCCGACATCTTCATCATGTCCTCGACTACAGCTGATGAGCATATGTCAGATACTTCATCACTGGACGCAAGCCCGGTAGAGAAGAATTTACGCTTCCTCGACCCGCTCTCTCTGAGGCTGTTTCATGGCCCTAAGTAACGAGAGCGACTGCGGGACAAGATGGAGTGTGTTTTGAGGCAATGGTTATCACTTCCAGTGATGCGGAGCATCGGTCGTGTGTGGTATATCATTGACTGAAGAGTAGCATACAGGGCGGCAGTTTCATGAAGTTGCATAGCGAATAAGTTTTAATGATTTGACGAGCCCTAAGAAGAATCCAAGGTTGAGGCATTAGACAGCCCATAAAAACAATCCAGCTAGAAAGAAGAGCTACCACAGACAAGAGGCATGGTCAGCTTCACCGCCTCTCCCGTAATGTTAGAAGAAACAGGAACTCACAAGCTCAGAAACAACATTCCCTTTCGCCTCATCCTCCTGTCTCCGGAGCCCCTGCCACCGGCGCTCCGGTCTCTCGGAGACTACCTCACTCGGCGGGAAGACTTGCTTGTCTTCCGTACACTCCTCTTCAGCCGTTTCTACTGCGCCGTCAACTACCAGACTCTTCCCAGACTTGGAATGATTCTCACAACTGATCTGAAAACGTTGGACACGTAGACATACCTTTTTCATCGATAGACGTCCCTACGTGCTCCCAGTCCGCGTCATCGAGTGCGTCTGTCTCTTCATGCTTCAACTTCTCCCCATCCCTCTGAGGCCCCTCAATTTGGAGGTCCTTCAAAGGCATCTTTTTTAATTTTCGGTCTTTTGGCGTGAAACTGAAACCTAAAAATGAGACGGGGAATCTTGCGTACAGCCGAACTAGACCGACTCTGTAATCTCACAAGATGTGCTTTTCCCGAGGTTGACTACGATGAATTGCCGCGACGACAACCTCTGATTGTTGAGGCGGCTGCCTTGTGCCGCGCCACTGCGTTGAGTTCGTCAGTCACATGAGAGAAAGCGGCACCATGCCATGCCCGTGACGCAACTGTCCAGTCCAGGCCTCGTTTACTGGCGATTCTGCTGAGCATTCGAAGTAAGCACATGCAGGTTGGCCCCGTCGGATGCCCGAATTTGCGGCACAGGTTCCCTTGACTTTACCCATTTAGGATGTCGTTCCCTGGTGGTTTTCTACTGCCTCCACTTACTCCAACGCATGTAAGTCTATCGTGTCAAACGACTAAAGTAGCATTTATTTACGCTCTCACTAAGCTCCATCATATTGCAATAAAAGGTTGTTATGTAGTGAAGAAGATCGATAGTCCTTGGAGAAAAAGACACGTACTGTAAGAGCAATGTTGAGATTATGCAGTAGAAAGAAATCTGAAATAGACACATTATGTGTATCATCCAATGCTGGTATCAACCCGATATGCCATCTCCTCGTATGCACAAGAAAAAAAAATAAGAAACCAACCCACCAGATGCAAACGCCTCATTATCCATGGCCCTCGGCACTCTAATATCCAAGAAAAAGGCCCTCCCTCATTGCTCCATGACCTCCACGATCCCCTTCCAAAAGTTACACCGATCTCTCTGCCCATCATCGACATTCTCCATCCGGTTCTTATTCAACTCAAACACGAACCGCGACTGATTCCGTCCCCAATCGCCCCAGTCCGGAGCACCCGCGAGCTTATAAGTGTTGGGATTCAAATCGCGCACGAACGAGATGACGTACTTCATCATCAGCGAGACAATAGGTTTGTTATACGTCCGGAAGCTGTCGGGCGTAGGACACGCGTCGATGCCAAAGATGGCGGGCGCCTCAAACACGTGCGGGACGCCGAGGCCGGAGGCCGTGTTGTCGTTGTCCTGGACGTTGAAGCGGTAGGACCAGCTCGTCCCGGAGCGGTTGGCGGCCGCGTAGGCGTTCATGATGGTGTTGGCGGGGCAGATGAAGGTCGTCTCGCCGTAGGCTTGGCTGGTGGACGGGAACCAGACGTTGTGGTTCGGGAGTGGCGGCAACAGGGGGTACTTTTGCAGCATAGGGTCGGTCTCGTTCTTTGTGAGTTTCGGGTAGTTGTCTGTCATGAAGGAGACGAATTGGTCTTGGGTTGCGACGTTGGCGGCGAAGACGGATCCCTCTGAAGGAGTGTGTGAGTACCTCAGTCGCTGTTGCAATAGGATGACGGGACTAACCGTTGCTTCCTGTCCCAAAGAGGACGGGAACTTTGATGAATGAACCCTTGTCGTAGAGCCGGTACGGGTAGTCTTGCAGAATGTCGCCGTCTATACATGGAGTCCAGTAAAAGTGCGGGTTTGCCGCCCTCCCTGGAAACGGCGATGCGATATTGGCGTCCTGGATCGCTTTAATGTCTTTGCCGCGCAGACAACCCATCTGGTCCTTGTCATCTGTGCAGCCTACCTTGGCCAGCGTCTGGTTGAACTGGTACTCAAGCTCCGGAACACGAGGCTGCGCGGGGAAGAAGACCGACTCGGACATGGCGCCTTTGAAGAGCTTGTCGTCGCGCCCGCCGTAAGCTGCGAGGTGAAGGGCGACCGAGCCTGCTCCGGCTGAGAGGCCGTGGATGACTACATGATTTGGATCACCGCCAAACTGTAATGCTTGTGAGTATGGCTGAAAATGACATGAAACAGTGTGAGATCTCACCTTTGATATGTGAGTCTGAACCCATTTCATCATTAGTCGCTGGTCCAAGAGTCCCACATTCAGCTCGCCATCTTTTCGAACCCGGTCACTCGCCAGGAATCCCCAAAGTCCGACCCTGTAGTTGAAATTTACAAAAACGACATTCTTGCCCGAGACATCGACAACTTGAGAGCCGTTCCAGTTGGGATTGGCATTTGAGGTGTAACCTGAAGCTGTGTCAGACAGGGACTTACTACAAGACCGACGCACAAGAGCTTGAATACAAGTAGGCTCTCATTTCTACATGAAGCAATGTCGTGTGAGTGGAGGGAGTCTTACCACCGCCTTGAATGAACAACCATACAGGAAGCTTTGCGTCGGCCGTCGTGTTTGTTGGTGACCAGACGTTGGCGTATAAACAGTCCTCATCTTGACCTGAAGTAGGATAAGTCACATCCGTCCCGAGACAAATAGGTCCAAACTGAGGTTCTGTCAGCGTGTCGATCCAACATCACAGCCCAGTGCCTTACATCGATGGCATCTGTCGTGCCCTCTTTCGGCTCGGGATCTTGAGGTGCTCGCCATCTCAGATTTCCTATCGGAGGCGCGGCATACCGCATTCCCAGAAACTGGTTCACACCGCTCGGGAGCGAATTCCCAGAATACCTCGCATAGCCGAGATCGACGGTGACCCTCGGCAAGTTGGCCTGTCACGCAGCGTCAGTACTATTGTGCGACGTACCGCCAGGTATTTTTTTGGAGGAAAGAGATACATCAAATCGGACCTCATCTCGAACTGCGAGATATTCACGAATGTTGAAGTAGAGGACGACGGAGAGGGCCGCTAGGATCATGCTGGCGATGGCAACTGGCGCAGAGTATCTCCGCCAGTTGAACTTCCTCGTCTCCATGACGGGTCGAAGGAGGGGTGAACATGTTTCGAGGTCATATGGTCCCGCGGGCTGCGGCGGCGCTGCGCGATCCCACGTGAGAGCCACCGTGGGAAGCCGTCTGCTCTGCTTCGGGAGACAAGAGCCCAAAGCCGAGCGGGGGAAAGCAGCAGGAGGAGCGAGACTGCGAGTGAGTGAATGCGAGAGAATGAAGCTAAAGTAGCGGCTGCTGCATGTCGTTTCCGAGGAGGGATCCGTGCCAGTCTCACAGACTCTCTGCAGCAGTGAGATGGCGCGGGTAAGACGCCGAAGATGAGTCTTGAGGGGATCGTAGATGGACCTGCGCACAACCTCGGACGAGAAGAGGTTGTAGATGTAGTGAAAGTTTCCAAAGAGAGAAAGGGGTGGGCCACCGTCTACATTGACGATCGATATCGCTGAGAACGATAATATGGAATGTGTCGAATTTTGGCGGCGCCGAGCATGTCTTTGTTAACTTTGGCTTCGCCTACCCAACCGCTACGGCTGGGTACCCCAACCCTCTCACCTCACTGAAGAATGGATACGGGAGGTGGGAATGCGGGTTTTCTGGGGTGATAATGCCCACCTCACGTACTACAACTGCCATCTCCCATCCACGATTCCACGCCAGGGCCTCCATGCTGGCTGCGGGCTGCAGGCTTGATAGGGGGCACGGGCTGTGTCAGCGCACTGCCAAGTATCCCATCTGCAGTGACGTCGCCAGGGCCTGTACCTTCTGTTGGCCGGCTCGAGGCAGGGCACGCAGGTAAAGCTGGCCAAGAGCGCGTTCTGGAAGCCAGAAAGTCCTTGTAAAGAGACCCAGCGAACCCCCCACCCCCCCCAAGCCTCCAGGGGACCACTGGAAACACTGGAGCGTTATCCAACAGTCCAACAGCAGGCCGCCGAAGAGCCGGGGCTTCGCTGTTTTCGGTAACAGGACGGCAGTGGTTCACCAAGGGAGAGACAAGGGCATCGTCATCTGTTTGATCGTATCGGAGCAAAACTGCCGCAAAAAACAATCCGTTGCGTACTTTCTCATCAGTTACCGATTTGTCCAAGTGGCTCACCGCCACTCGGTTCATCCTGAAAAAGGGACAATGATGAAGTTTTCCAGGCTCAAACAGCACCAGTAACAGAGAGCTCCTGGCACGAACACGGCCACGCACGCGTAGGGGACTACGGTTCCTCCCTCTGCGCAGGGTGCTGCCGGCTTGGCGCTTCATCTGATAGATGAGGCTTCCGCGTTCTCGTAGCCCGTCGACGAGCTTCTATCCTTGCTCGAGTACCGGCCGTGTTCCCCTCTGTGTGCCAAGGATCAAGACTCGAGAATTTCTTGTTGATCCTTATCCGTTGTCACAGAGCTCTTATCGCTCCCTGCTTTTTGGCGTCACTGCTCCTTATTCTGTAGCATTCAGTCGGGGTAAATATGGGCTTCTTCCAAGGGACCGTTGCTTAGATGAAGCAAGAAACACTGGGGAAGGTCTCCAGCAGTCATGGACTCATGGCCCATAGGAAAACTTCACAAGGTCCAGAAATAGCGCCGGCGAGACATTCTCAAGACTCGGGTGTCCATTCTTGTCGTATTCCGACTCGGTGCCGAGTCGTGTCCGGGTTAGGTAAGCCGGCACCTCGAAAAAGTAAGGATTGAGAAAGTGAAGCCAGCTGACTTGTCTCGTGATACCGTTGGTAAGACGAATCTGCCATACTGCTTCGAGCAATATAAGATGGCATCAGGCTATCTGTCTTACACATGGCGTCCGCTGTCTCTTTTTGACGAAGGTCTCCGAATGGCGGGTTTAGCCGTGGAGGCACCCACTCAGCATGTGGTGTTCAACCACGACATCCAAAAATAGCATCACCCTTCGCCCGGAGGGTGTTTGGCGTCTCGCTGTGGTTGGTCGCTGTGAAGGGCTTGAAGGCTTGAAGCAACCACGACGATATATCTTGCGCATCCGCATTCGGAAATTCTACAACTTCGGCGAGTCGCTGGGCTTTCTGCGTGTTGGAGGTGGACTGTTGGAAGAGAGTCGTGTCAGGCGGTTAGGCTAAGGTAGTAGGCGGGGCATTCCACCTTTCTAGCTGAGATGTGAAAAGGCCCATCTTTCACACTTGTAGAGTTATGTCGAGATGAGACTGGTGGCTGCTCAAAAGAGACACATGGTTAATGCCTTCGGGGCTCAACTTGACACAGTTGATAGTAGGCTCTCTCCCTGCATATCGCGATTCGCAGGTTGCCGCTTAGGTTCCGCATCCCTGTTTCAATGTCTTCCCCAACAGCGTCAAAGCAGCACCAGTCAGAGAACGAGTCTGCCATTCTCTGTTGGTTCTTAGCGGATAGCCAGCCGCCACCAGTTTGATGTTGTGTATGAAGTAGACACCAAAGACTCACGATAGCCACATGGTGATAAGTCAAGGAGAAGCCAAGATAAGCTTAGAAAGAGTAAGCCCAACGAAGTGGTGGAGAGTCTGCTGCTGTTACATTGTTTCAAGACTCAGCCTCATGTTGTCAGCTTCCAACTGATCTAGCGAGGCCTTGTGTCTCTGAGGCAAGGCCTCTATCTCCACCTTCCCATAGCAAGACAGGCTCCAATCGCCCAGATATCAACGGCAGAGCCAGCGGCTAAGAGGGTGCAGCTGTGGTTGCAATGGGATGCATGTTGGTTGCCTTTTGATATAGTGCCATCGGTAGTGGTGTGAATCTCGAAGCGTGTCGCAGAATCAGAGGAATGGATCATTCACTTTCATGACCTTTGACCATTACTATCCAAGATTATTTTGAGCACCTTCGAGTCCCAAGTCTTAACAGAAAGGACTTGGAATGTGCAGGTCGTCACGCCTTGTTGATGGAAAGGGGGTCCCTGGTCTGTTTGAAATGTGTTTGCCTGCGAAAAGAAACTCCAAGGGCCCCATGGAACGGAAGATCTAGGCAAGGTCAGCTCGGGTTGGTCGGGTACCTTCCGATAAGGTGCCAACGCCGATGATTAGCGCCAAACCAGTGGGTAAAGTACGGTAGGAACAGGGGGGGATGGGGGGCAGAATGAGCCCAGCAGCAGGCAGACAGAAATGCACCTGGTTGTTTTGGAGGATGCCCTCACGCAACTCACCACTCACACCATCCACCCACTGATACAAAGATATTGGGCTAACTTCAGGTGGTCCAGTAGCGTCGCTCCGCCACATGTTGCTTGCGTTCGCACGCGCAGCCGCATGTCCAAGTCCCTCAGTCCCCAATCCCCAAGTCCCCAGCCTAAAGACCAAAAGGCCCAATAGAGACAAAGTCTGTGATCCCACACACACACTCAGCTCACACTGTTGTGCTTCCTGCACTTGTTGTCTTTGCGTTTGCCTCTAACGCTTCGCTTCTGCTTCTGCGTCTACTACTGCTTCTCCTGCACTGCGCTGCGCCGCCGTCCTTCTTCGTCTCAACAACGGCCCTTTTCCAAAACTCCAGACGATTGATTCATCATGTCAACTTCCTCCCGCCCTTCGCTTTCTTAGCCTCGCAGCGACACCAACTTCGCCGCAAGCAACCAAGCAAGCATCGGACTGCCCTTGGTCCATCATGGACACCAGCACTGACGCTGGCGGACATGGGGAAGTGGGATCACGGTCGTCCATTGACAAACCCCCCATCCTGGCTCCGGATCCCGCTTTTGATCGCCTCCCGGACGAGATTATCCAACAGTATGGCCATGTCCCTGCCATCTCTCTCAATCTCTCTTCTATTACAGCTTTACTGACATTGGCCATAGGATATTGCAGCTTACCGACCCCGACTCCTTTGCGTCTCTCGTCCTCCTCAACTCGAAATGGCGATCAGTCGCCCAGCAGGCCCAGCTCTATGCCCTCCACCTCTTCAAATGCGAATCCTATGCCTCGAGCCATCCTCAGCTTCGCGATACCGATGTCAAAGATGAAGATCTTCCGCGCCTCAGGCGACTATTCGCCAGAGAGGTCAAGCGCAACCTTTTCGAAGCATACCTGCGACCCCGCGAAACTGTTATAAAGTTGATATCCAATTCCATCAGCTCCTCGTCATGCCCCGGCGGCGAGGGAATGCAATTCAGTCCGTCGCCCCGCGGTCACCACATCCTAGCCTACAACTCATCTCGAATCTACGTTCTCGATGTTCGGGGGAAGGATATCGACGTCAAGAGGGAATTCAAGATCTTGCGCCGACCCGTTTCGACCTGTATCAAAGACGATGGCTCGATGCTGGCTGTGTTATCTTCTGAAATGCAGGTCGACTTGTATGATCTAGAGCAGTCGCCGCCGCGCCGCACCCAGTCTCTGATCCTGGATCATGCTCCGCGTACTATTGCCCTCTCGCCCTGCGGTTCTGTCCTGGCTGCTGCGTACGAAGGAGGTATCGAAGTATCCCTGGTCAACCCTGGCGCCTTACCTACAGATAGACGCGCTGTCAAATGCGATGGAGTCGATTCCTTATCCTTCTCATTCGACGGCACACAAATTCTTGGAACAACGATTCACTCATCGCCACCTACCACAGTTATCCTCACAGCTCCATATTATGACCCAGGCAACCAAATGGCCGACGATAGCATCAGCGCGCTTTGGACTACGTCTATTCTATTTCCCAATACCAGTCGTGACTGCAGTCATGCCGTGCTGTTGCAGGACTCTGCACAAGAAGAGGCGAGCTGGACGTTCACTTATGATCGTAGTTTCGAGACGTTCAGGGCTGTACGCATTGAAGATCTGAGAAACGGAACAACATATTTCACGGGCCCGAAACCCGACCCAGGATCACAGGCTAAGCTCACGCCTTGCACTCTCCCCGCAGCGACTTTCCATGGGGATCTTGTCAGTGCTGGGTTCCAAGGAAAGGACGTCTGGCTCTATGGTGTCCCTGAAGACCTCGACGCCGTACCCGAGTTCAACTCCTCAGGGGCTGATGGATTGTCAGCCTTGGCTGGACAAGCAAGAAGAAATAGTGGGCCCCCCTCGCGTTCGTCATCTTCCCGGGCGCAAGAGAACCCCAGGATCCCTCAATGGCAAATGTTGTGTGATAAGCTCCGGAACACTTTCATCTGGGGTGCAAAGATTGCCGAACTCGACGGTGTCAGCACGGTGAAGTGGGTTGCGGGCTTTGGTCAGACTTCGGCACAGGAGCGCCTCGTCATCGCAGCCCGGGGCATCTCTCCTGGAAAATCCATCATTGAGGAGGACGACATTGACTTCATTGACGGCGGCAGAGTTACCCTCCTGGACTTCGACTACAGTATCGAAGATGGTGTCAGAACGGAGATTGAGATTGAAGTTGGCACCAAGGAGCCTGAGGTGCTCGAAGAGGAACAAAGAGATATCGACACCGAAGTCGCTATCGTACGTCGCAGGACTGTGGCTCAGAAACGGGGAGATCGCGGTGCCTTGATGCGTGCAGCTACGAGTGCTGCAGCCCGGAGCAACCCTTTGCCATCTATGCCGTCGATGCCACCGATGCCGCCCATGCCACAGCCCCGAGAAGAACGACAGGCCGACAACGACAACGGCGAAGACGACCCTCTCGTTCCAAGACGAATTGGAGCGGCCCCGCGTATCAATGTTCAAGAGCCAGCCTCACCTTCGGCGCCTGGGGCAGGCGAGACCGCCTCAATTATTGGAGAAGAAGAGGCAGAGGAGGCAGTCGAAGCCCCTTACTCGCATGACGGGCCCCGCTCCACCAACACTCTCCGTCGCGCTGCCACTGCTGCTGCTGTGAACCGAAGCCGCCACCCGCAACCGCCGGCCGCTGGACCGGTAGAGTATCGGCGAGCTGACGGCCGACGTGAGCATCCTCACGAGAGCGACGCCGACAACTGGGTTCCACCGCCGCCTCCCTACCAAAAGGATGACCCCGGTGACTTGCCCTCTTTCCTACGGAACGCCGTCATCACACCTGGCGGTGTGCAGATACAGAGTCAGCCGGCAAGGACCCAAACAGCCGCGCCTGCCATTGGCGCGTCAGCTTGGGCGCTCCCGACGCGACCAGCTCTATCTCAATCATCAGGCCGCCCTCTCAGCTATCAAGAGCCGGTCAACAGTCCCCCGGCTAATGCCAGCCACCATCTTCGAATAGCTAGTGACTCGACGCTCATGAGCCGGCCGCGCACTGCAGACTCGGCACTTCGTCCGACGCACAGCCCATCGGCCCCTGCTGATCTTGACGACGATATCTACGACGTCTCGCCACCGGATTCGCCACAGATGGCTGCGAGAAGACAGAGCGAGACTCATGCCATCTCTCCTGAAGACCAGCGGATGGTCAGCCAAGTCTCGGAGGCTCGACCATCAAGTTCTGGGACACACCAAGATTCTGAGGCAGTGTCTCCCGAACAATCAGTCGTTTCCCCGGTCGCTCAGCAGGTTCAGGCACCTCCATCGCTGGGTTTGGAAATCCCACCAGCTTCCTCTGCAAACACTGCGGAGCTACGACAGCCACAATCAGCGTCCACCACCGACGTGCCGATAGTCAGACGTCTTTCCAATGCGTCAACCTGGCCTAGATCTGCGCAGCCAGGT